GATTGATTTGGAGTAATAAGTGTTAAATGCATGGGCAAGATATTTTAAGATACACTTCATACATCATCTAAAATTGTTTTGATCGTGCACGAATCGAGAGGCATATTCAAGTTGGAAAATTTTAAAATTGAAATTGGGATCATCTGAATTCCAATTTCATCAAACTTATAGCCAAACTAAACATATCAAAGAGATGAACTTTATGACACCAAAATCGACCCAACCCGAGTCCAAATGGGTCTAAATCGGGGGCCTAAACCACATTTGAAAGAATCAAAGCATTATCTGGATGACAAAATGATATTCAAATACGACATGCTTATAGTCAAATCGAGTGGCTCAGTGATAAGAATCCAACGAGCCCAAGATTGGTGAATTCCAACATCGTTATGATAATTAAACTGCTGAAAAACTCTCTTTGATAGAGGGAAATACATACGAGCCATCTGATTGAGCACTTCAAACTTGCCCCCATATCTTTTCAATATTTATGGGGTGTGACACTCATAAAAATCTACAATTTGACCCCTACTCTCAATATGAGCCATCTGATGGAGCACTCTGAACTTGCCCATAGACCTAGGGGCTGGAGATTGGAGAGAGCTCTGAGGTTTCAAGAGCTCCAGCACCACTGCTGGCGAACCCACGACTATCGTCGGACGATCGCTCAGCCATTTTTCATTGTCTAACTTTCACTAGTCCCTCGCCGCCAGACTTTAGCCCGACCCTCATTGGACCATAGCCCGGCCTCTGTTCGCTGTCGGATTGTAGCCCGACCATCATCAAACCACCGCCCGGCCTCCAACGGCGGATGGACGTCAACCCGATCATCGTCAGACCACTACCCCAGCTACCGTTCGCTGTCGGACTTCAGCCCAACCTTCGTTGAACCACCGCCGGCCACTATCCGCGGTTGAACAACCACTTGGCCGTAAACCTCCGTCGGAATTATGCCTCGACCGCCGACAACCGTCGGACTTCTGCCCAGTCGCCGACCACCGCCAGACTTCCACACGGCCGCTGATCATCGCCAGACATCAGCCCGACCTTCATCAGATCACCGCCATATTTCTACATGATGTCAGACTTCCACCCGTTGTCGCACTTCTGCCAATCGTTAAACTTTCATCGGACTTCAACTTGACGTTTGACTTCCACACATCACTGGATTTCTACTTGACACAAGACTTCCGTTCGTCGCCTGACATTTGCCCATCGCCAACTTTCATCAGACTTCTACCTGATGCCATATTTCCACCATCATTGGACTTATGACCTCTGTCGCCATTCGATTACGATCCTTCCAATTTCCTTCACCAGACAACAGTCTTTCTGACTACTGTCACCCGCCGACTTAGTCCTTCCGACATCCGTAGCTAGATAACAATTTTTTTGACCTCTATCGCCCACCGACTACGTTCCTTCCAACCTTTTTCGCCCACTGACTATGGTCCTTCTAACCTCCTCCGATGACTACGGTCCTTCCGACCCCCTCCACCGACAACGGTTTCACTACAGGAAAAACGTCATTTTTCGGTTGAAATTTTAACCTGAAAATTGGCCAAAATCCGTCGGAAATTAACATTTCCGGTGGAAATATTTCCGCCGGTTTGACGCTCGTCGTAAAAGGCCTTACTGCACAAAATAATACGCCGGAAACATTTCAGGCGGATTTTCCGCAGGAAAAATATTTCTGGCGGAATTTTTTTCGCCGGAATGTCAAGAAAAAAAAACACACCCACTCCGGTACAGGCCAGCCCAGCCAGAACCCGCTCCGGCTCAGACCGCCTAGAACTCCCGCTCTGGCACAGCCCAGCCAGAACCCCCTCCGGCCCAGCCCAGCAGCCAGAACCAGCCCCGCGAACTCGAGTCCGCGTGGAACCGGCCCCGCCCGAGCCCGCTTCCGCCCAACCGAACTCGCATGGCCGCGCCTTCAGCGGGGTTCGAACCCTGCACCTCCCCCCCTCCGTGCGTTTATGTGATCCGCTCCATCTGCCATCCAAGCCATCAACCAAAACATGTTAAATCCGATATTTTTTTTTATTAATAAGAAAAATTGAAGTAAGCACCGCATCAGGCCAGTAAACATGAGGTACCGCTGCCGTGTGCAACAAAGTCCGAGTTGTTTCGATTATATGGCGATGCTTCCTTTCGGCCAGCCCATTTTGTTCAGGAGTATATGGACACGATAACTGATGTGCAATTCCATGAGTAGTTAGGTAATTCTTGAACTCAGAATTCACATATTCTGATCCGCCATCTGTCCTCAGAATCTTGATTTTATGCGAGGTAAACCTTTCAATGTGGTTCTTGAAATTAACAAACGTTTGAAAAACATCAGATTTGTATTGAATTGGAAATAACCACGAATATCTAGAAAAATCATCCACAAATAGAACATAAAATCTAAATCCTTGATTAGAAGATGTAGGTGCAGGCCCCCAGACATCCGAATGGATGATAGCCAACGGTTGTGTTTGACGATTGAGAGAATTGTCAAACGCAAGCTTATGACACTTAGAGGCAATGCACGAAGAACAATCAGAAGTTTGTTTATTCATATGTAATACAGGATAACTATTTGAAATGAAATCGAAAATTCTTTTATGAGGATGCCCAAGTCTGTGATGCCAGACTTGAGCCTCATTCTTGGAAGCGGAAAATGCATGCGGACTGAGCTGTGGCTGGTGAAGTGGAATTTTGTACAAGCCTCCGTTACATGGTCCTGTGAGTAAAATTTGTTGTGTCGCAAGATCCTTCAACATAAAACCATTAGGGTCAAAAATTATAGAGATATTATTGTCTCTAGTTAGTTGAGAGATAGATAATAAATTGAATTTAAGGGATGGAGTGTGAAGGAGTTGTGACAAGCGCAGCTTACGGCTGGGGGTCGGTAAGATGCCAGACCCTGTGTGCGCTATTGGCACCGAATTGCCGTCTCCTACCGTGACGTTGTCTGCACCATGATACGACTGAGCTATGGACATATTTTCCAATGAATTGGTTAAATGTGATGAAGCCCCTGAGTCCAAGAACCAGGTGGTGTCCGGTGAGTCTGAGCTCGCAAGAAACGCCGCGTTTGTATTCTTGCTGGACGGCACATATTGAGCATTCATACGATGCCAACATGTTTGAGCCGAATGCCCTTTCTTGTAGCAAATTTGACAAGATACCGCAGAGAGTGCGTTTGCTCGTTGCGGAGGTATTGTTGAAGACGACTCCACATTTGACGTTTTGCTGGAGGTCGAGTGGTTGTATGAGTTCTTGGCTTTAGGTCGCCGGCCTCTTCCTCTTTGGTTAAACAGTGCTAGCGTAGGATCTTGAATAGACGAGAACCGAGCTGCATCAGCTGCTAAGTTGATTTCTTCGCTCAGTAACAGAGGATAGATCTGTTCAAGCGTGAGAGGAAAGATTGAGGTCCTGATTGAGGACTTAAACGACTGGTAGATCTGTGGGAGCCCATTGAGTATGTGGTGAATGACATCTTCGGGATCGACTGAAGATCCTGCCTCCGAGATTTGATCAACGATGGTCTTAATCTCCGAGAGATACGCCGTCATCGAGTTGTTCTTGAGCGAGACATTGTGAAGCGAATTTCTGAGCTGTATCACCCGCGATCTGTTCGACGCCTGAAATCTGGCTTCGAGCGCCGCCCAAACCTCCGCCGTAGAATCAAGAGAGATGACATACGGAAGAATTGAGGTCGAAATTGTCGAACATATGGAGGCAGAGAGATTTTGATCCGTCTGTAACCACTGAGCGTACGCCGGATTAGAGACCGATGCACCAGAGGAATTTATCACAAATTGAGACGGCGGTGGGGATTTAGAATCAAGAAATTTCAGAAATCCATTAGCCCGCAACGTCTTCAAGATTTGCGACTTCCAGATGCTGAAGTTGTCCGGAGTTAAGGACGCAGATACCAGATTACGGAGATTAGATACGACGAACTTCAAGTTCGCCGAGATCGTGGCTTCGTCGGACTCTTGGCTCCCGCTTCTTTCTTGAAGTTGTGAGGATGCCGAATCCGCCATGGCTCAGGATCGAAGCCAAACTGATACCATGAAGAACTGCAAGATGCTAAAGAAGATAAAGAGAACAGATAGTATGATATTATTAATCTTGTCATTTGTACAGACCGAGAGCCTTTATATAGATAAAGGTTATATAATAGTAATTACAAGAATACCTAAGAACTTTCTAAATTCTAATTAACAGTAAACCACATATGTATTCCTAATATGCCCCCTCAAATTGATGGATCTTGAATGATCGTCAATTTGAGACGAAGTATATATATATATATATAATTTTTACATTCACATTACCACGTCATAATATTTATAATTTCAAGTCTTTTAGAAGTGAACACATTTGCACTTTATAGTCTAAACAAACCTTTGTATTTGTGAATTATTTAAATAACACTATTTTATTTGATATTCTCAAAGTTAATTATTGTATTATTTTCAAAATATATTCTCTCATATTTTTTATAGCAAGTGTTGTAATATTTTTTGCAAAAAATTTTAAACAATTTTATCTTCTGATTGTGACGTAAAAAATTAATATAGTTGAATGAGCTCTGTCTTCAAATTACCCAAATAAAAAAAAATATAATATGAAAAATGATACAATTTATGCTAAAATTAACCATTAAATAGATTAATATTAGATTGTGAGGATATGATATAGCAAATACTGTGGATTGCGATTACATTTGGAAAGCCTACATTAAAGCTGGTTTCCAGCAGGACAGCCTGTGCGGCTGTGACACAGCAGGGTATTTTCTTATTTATTAGTCATCTCAAATATGGAATTAGAGGCTAATTATGAAGCAAAAAATGACTGAAAAGTATCCGTGTCCCATTAAATTGGAGAATGTTATTTCTTTTAAGACATACTTTATGACTTATTAGTTATTACTCATTATTTAAAAAAAAAAAAAAAAAGGGGGGGGCTCTTCTCTGCTCACCTCTGTTCGTACTCAAAGCTCGACCCTCACGCGGTGGAACCGTGGAAGCCCTATAGGAGTTTTTTTATTATATTTTTTTTTTCCTGCTCGCTTTCGCTCGCTCCGCCACTTCTATCCGCCCCACTCTCCAAAAGTTAGGGTTTCCCAAGATATGTAGGTTGGTTTCTGCGGGGTCCCAGGGCTAGGATGCTCATGTTACTGCGACGGATCTCCATGCGCCGCTGGTCAAGCGGCTTCGTTGATTAGACAGTTGCGATCGGCAGAGCTCTGTTAAGGTTGCGTTTGCGGGCGCGGATGGAGACCGCGTGGCTGGGGCAGGACTGAGGGCCGCGGGAGTTATCGGATGGCATTAGGGGATCGGATGGCGTCGCGGTTCTCTCAGTCATCGGCATCGGTGTCAAGCTATCTTGATGAATTCTCCAGCAGGGAGGATGGGGATTCTGCTGGCCAGAGGAGGGAGTCGGAGTCGGTGGCTGCGGCTAATTCATCTCCGGTTGTGACCAGCATCGCTTACTTACCGCAGACTGTTTTTCTGTGCGAGTCCAGGCACGAGGGGTTTGAGGAGTTCGTTCCGACGGGGCCGTCGGAGAGTGGATTGGTCTCCAAATGGAGGCCCAAGGACAGGGTAAGTACTTGCTCTCTCTCTCTCTCTCATGCTATAGGAGAACTTGCTCCTTGAGATCCAACTCCGTTTTTCCCCTCGAACTTTCTTTCATCTATATTATTTAATGATTGTACTGCCTTTTCATCTGCTTTATCCCTGCATTAGCATTGATGCTTGTTTCTCCTCCCTTGGCGGAGGATAATTGCAAATTTATTTGTGTGGATATTCTTCTGGAGCTCAATAAACATATATTATTCAGTCTGCAGACAATATAAAGTCTTTCTTAATTAAGTTTCTTTCGGTGAACTGTCCGTGTGTTCGCTTGCTGCCTCTGTTTGTTATCAATTTAACGTCTTAATTTGAATTTATTGGTGGGGAAGAACATATATTTGATCAATGGAACGAAAATAATTTGCACGAAAGTTTAATTTGTGTCTTCTGTGGATTGGCTTGTTCTTTGACAAATCTGTTTCCCGCACTGAATAGTATTATGCTTGTTCTCCAAGTTTATCTCATCAGATTTAAGATTTATTTTGTGCATCAATCAAAGTTCCACTTTTTTGAACGGAAACAGTACTGGTCCGGAATTCTTACCTGGATTGCATACACCGTTTTTATCTGAGCCTTCTTCACGTGCCTCTCATTAAAATATCATTTCTGAGTTCCAGCTATCCCCAGTTTGTGGCTTGATTCTCAATACTGATTACATTGAGGGTCGAAGTTTTCTTTACCAGGTTGATGATGATTCAGTTACTGGCAATAAATTTTATATAAAGGCTTTTTATTTAGTTTTAAATAATATTTTTTTTCTTTTCTAAACATATAAATAGAAATGTCTGTGACTTTATTTAGTAAAGAATTTTAAAGTTGCAACCTTAAATGCTATAATGCTTGTTAGCATGTTGCTATTTTTAAATTTCATAATTAGAACTAGAAACTTAAAGTTTTCTTTTTGGTATGACCATGAATTTTGTAATGCAGATGAAGACTGGTTGCGTGGCACTTGTATTGTGTTTGAACATTGGTGTTGATCCTCCAGATGTAATTAAAATATCTCCTTGTGCAAGAATGGAGTGCTGGATAGGTAAATTTGTTCTTTAGTTAGAAGTTATTTCTTCTATGGTATGAAAATCTATCTTTAGTTGGACTGGTATGTTTGTGCTTGGTTCTTATGAAGCAATAAACTTTGTATTACTTATGTGGAAGACCCTAGTAATATCAAAATTCAAAAGTGGATTCATTCTCATCAATTTAGTTATAAGTCTTACATTTGGTGCTTCTGATCTAACTTCAACTTTCAATCTTTCTCATATGGACTTGAAATTGACAATGACCATTTTAAATACTATCAATATCTTACGCTCAAATTCTTAACTTTAGAATAATCTTTAGTCATTTAATTATTTATTTTCTCTGTTTCATAAGCATTCACAGTGCAATAGTTGTTTTTTTATATTTATTTTATACTTCCATAAACTATTGGTTGATTTTTTTTTTAAATTTGTTGGCGTCAATCAAGAAAATATACATTGGCATATGTTGATTTGTTAGTTGTCATTAGCAAAAGGGAAGGGCTTCCATGTTTTCCAAGCTTGATTTCTTTACATATGTAGGGTTATAAATTAGGGAAATTTCATTTATGATTTTCTTTGCGTTCTTGCTAAATATTGTCTGGATAGCAAATTTTGATAGTTTATATGAATACCAAAATGCTAATGTAGGAGAAAATGATATATATTAAACTAAGGGTTTGCTTGGCATAACATTTTATCTCTATTTTTTGCTTATGTTTTTGAATAATTGAATAAAACATCTGTGATAAGTGTTTTTGTTTTTATTTAAATTCAAATCAAGTTATTTTAAAAAACACTCAAATAACTTATAGATGTTTTCATTTTTTTTTTTCAAAATAGGAATTTCCTAATTCTCACCCTCGCTTACCATGCAGTTAGGCCCTTTTTTTCCACTGGAAATCCTAGACGCGTGCTTAGTTAGCCTCGCATTGGCTGCAGGCCAACTTCAAGCCCATTGCCTTCCACCCCCACACCCGCCATTATCTAACTATGTGCCCGCCATCAAGCAACCCTGTGCTTGTCATTTTCCAACACTATCCCCACTATTGGCCAACCATGTTTGCCGCCAGCTAACTCAAATTGCGTGCTCTGTCAACTTCTCACTTGTCGTTGGCGAATCTTATGCGTGCTTGTTGTCCGACCTCGCGCTTCCTTCTACTTTCAATCGCCTTATGTGCATCCCAAACTATGCCAAATCTCACCTAGTTGTCCCATGCACGTATTGGAGAATGAATTTGAATTTGTTTGAAGAAAATCCATCATTGTAGCAATTTTTAATGCTAGAATGATCAATATAAAAGTATAGAAAGCAGATAAATAATCTTAATATGATTTCTTATTGATCTTGGGAAGGGCTATGCTCAGGTAACGTGATAATTAGTTTGTCTTACATATGAAAAAATTATGTTAAAGACAAGTTTAAGTTATTAAAAATGTGTGATGACAATTGACTATTGTTATAAATAGATGAGTGGTATAAGAGTGTATGTCATAGCAAGGCTAAATCAATGATGAACACCTATGATGCACTGACACGGACATGGCGACACGGACACGACACGGGACACGGACACAGAACACGACAATTTTTAAAAATATAGGACATGGGTGCCGCGTGGACACGACATAATAATTTTTTAATATAATATATATAAATTAAGGTGATATTATAGTAAAAATGACAAGCAATAATAAATCAATTTTATGATAACTTGTTTAGCTTATAACATAAAGATGTTTAGTACAAAATGTCTAGTACACATTTTTATTCCATGGCTAGAAATTTTAAATAGACGTGACTTCAACCTAGAATAAGATCCTTTGTAGGTGCCACCACAATAATTGCATTTGAATGACACATTCCCTCCTTCTTCAAAAGTTTTTCCTAACTTTGTAACATGAATCCATAAAGGCTTATCAGTTTCTACATATGGCTCTTTTGAACATTCACCTAATCCAATCCCGCCAGTAGGAGAGCTCATTTTGCTAACAAACCAATCATAAATATGAATACATCAAATTAATTTGATATGAAGTGAAATCAAAATATCCTAATAATAAGACAACATGAATACAATAATATACCAGTCTGTCGGGGGTCCAAGGGGGTGCTGCCCCTTGGCGGGGTAATTTTGAAGTTCTGCTTGTTTTTAAAGTTTGTAAGTTATTTGTATGGGAAGATACCGAGTGATACCGAGCAAGTACCTAGCAGTACCGAGCATGTACCTAACAGTACTGAGTGGTACCAAGCATGTACCTAATAGTACCAAGCATGTACCTAGCAGTACCGAGCATGTACCAAGCAGTACCGAGCATGTACTGAGCGGTACTAAGCATGTACTGAGCGGTATCGAGTGTCGGACGCGCGGAAAAGGCTAAATAAAACGGACGATTTTATCATTTAATAACCGGACACGCGTGTCCGACACGCGCGTCCGATTTTAATTTTAATTTTTTAAATTGCGACACTCCAATGCGTGTTGGACACGTGTCCATGCCGTGTCCGACGCGTGTCCGTGTCCAACACGTGTCTGACACTGCATATCCTCTTTAAACGGAGTGTCGGTGCATCATAGCTTCCTAGTCGTCAGTCATCACTTAATTCATCATTCTTTGTGATTCCGGCCTTTATCTCATTTATCACATATTTTAGTTAAAAATGTGATCTCAAGCTAAAACATTAGTTCAGCACCATTTTTTTAAGTTAACATCTTGAAACGCATGTCCGCTAATGAATGCCTTGATAGACGAACACTTTCTTTTATTTGTCAACTCAGATTTCACCACCCTAAGCAGCTGCTCTCTTATCATAATTTTTCTATTTTTTAGTGAAAAAAATATCAGTTTTATCCTTATTTGGGACATTCAGGCACAATATTTTTGCACCAGTTTGTTATTAAATAATTAGTCCCTTGGGCCCTTAGTTTTTTCAAGTATTTTGCGAGGTGAGCATTCTGTTTTGTCATTTAATTCTTTTAAATTTTTTTGCTAACCGGTTCATTATTTAACAACCTTAAACATTTATTCTTTTGGTAGGCAATCTTAATCTAGTTTTTACTGCTTATATTTTGTATAATAGGTGTTATCATAGATTTGTGTATTCTGTGCTTTACTATAGTTAATGCCCTTTCATTTAACACAATACTATCTTTTTGTATTGTTTATAGGGATGCTTACAAGTTGGTTCAAATTGATTCTCTTGGTGTATGATTTTTGTACATGATGTAATTTGATTAGATGAGACATCCGTTGAAATAAAGGAAAAGTTAGAGCAACACCTAATATGTTTAGAGGATAAATTGACTATATGATTAGTTCAACAAAGTATATGATACATAATTGCTGTGGGGTGATATTAACAGTTTTAAATCAATGTTATTAGAATATAAATTGATACATAAGTGTGATGGGTACAAGTATCTTGAATATGTTACTTAGATGAATAGAAATATACATATAATTTCTGGAGTTTATTCTAAGTGGCTGAAATAGAGACATTCCTTAGGAGTGTTATGCTATAAGAGGATATCTCAGAGACTTAATGGTACATTATATAGAACTATCAATCCGAGTGTTGGATAATAAAAGAATTCATTGACATCTATGTTGTGTATGATAATTGAGAATGTTAAGAAGCTTAAGTGGTTGTGTGACAAATCTAGTAATTATAGAATTACGAATGATTATATTAGAGGCATGATAGGAGTTACATCTATTGAGGATATTGGCAGTAGAAATTTGACCTTCGTGGTTAGGACCTGTATAATAAAGGATAGAAAATGCACATGTAAGATGACTAGATGAGTCAACAACAACAACATCAAGCCTTTATCCCACTACGTGGGGTCGGCTACATGAATCCTTTTTCTCCATTGTGTCCTATTAAAAGTCAAATTCTCGTTTAAATCTAATAAAGAAAGGTCATTCCTAACTAGATGAGTAATTAAAATTAATTTTGAATGATTGGGAAGGGACATGGTTCTACTTAAGACAACAAGAATAGAAGTTGTGCAAAATGATTTAGCAGAATAAATATAGCACCTCATGTGACACGCCACATGCATTGAATAATGAGGATTAATAAAGTTGACCTCAAGTGATGCAACAATATTGTTGATGATGCTTGATTCTTTTGGCTTACACTTTCATTGATTGATGGAATTAAATTTTCTTCTTGGCATTTTGAATTCAATATATTACAAGATGGCTTATACTAGTTTCGAACTTCTGGTAATTAATTTCAACAAAAGGTAGAAATTTTCTCTTTGCTTTATAGGAAATATCAGTACATGTTTAAATAGTGTCAACAAAAATTTCACTTTGATATATACATATCACTCACATTGTGAAGTAATTCCACTGAATGCTAATTTGTTGTAAGCATCATTTTCCTTGAAAAAATCATGAGCCTTTCAGCTGTTTATTTTGCTATTTCAATTAGAAATGACATGATGATGTGGCATGTGCATGTGGTTCAAGACAAGCTTAAAATGATCATAAATTATGGAGCATGAGCGAGCTCATGTTGTTTTACATTTTGTTATAGTTATTGAATGTTGGCGAGCAATATAAATTAGTATTTACATGAAGATAATATAACCCCGTGATACATAACATCAATATATGAAGCATTATGTGGAAACTAGTTGAACTGCAGTAACAAGGCCATGTTTTTGAGTCATGGCATGATTAGAATGGTGATGCGGATCATGTGCCTTCAATGGTGAATTGTTTGTTTGTGCAATACTACGCTGGCTTTAGTGCTGTCCAGGGAAGTCTTTGGTTCCCACCAGCACTATTGGAAATGCGTTTCCATTCTTTAGTAGAGAGGAGCCCTAAGCTGCCCTAACTGTAAAATGAAGGACCATATTAAGTTCTTTTCCATATTTGATGACTGTGGTGTTGTTATATATATTATATAATATACTTGCATTCTTCTTTTGCTTTTTTTGGTAAGAAATAATTCATTTATCTTTTAAATTTTGCCGGAGTATAGATCATAAATCTGCATATTTTTGAAAAATTCATGTGATGTATATTATCATGTATTTTTTGAACTTATTCATATTGTGCTAATTGCTAGTTTTGAAGGAAACAATTATGCTAGTTCAGTATATAAAGGTAGGACATAATATCATCACCATTAACCTTGTCCCGACTATTTATGGTTGGCTATATGAATCCGAATTCCAATAATAAGATTATTGATTGTGTTATTGTTTAATTCTATATGGTTAATCCTTTTTACTTTCCAATTTTATGCATGCTATGAAGAATATTGCTGCATTCAAGTTTTCCTGATTATCTATTTATATGTTATCGTTTTGATAAAGTATAAATCAAAAGACATGGGCTGGAGATTATTCCTTGTCAGTAATCTATTTTAGGAATGTTATGCAGGTTGACATCATGGGCAAACATCTTTAGGCAAAGTTTTTTTTTTTTTTTTATGTCAATTTTGAAAACCCATTATGTTCTTCAATCATCGATCTATTATTGTAAGTTGTAATGCTCGTGTTTAAGGAAATTCCTTAGATTTGATTAGGGCTATCAAAATTGGGTCATGGGTAGGGTTCGGGCCCAACCTGGAACTGACCCGACATCTTTTGACCCTACCCGAACCCGACTTGCTTCGGATCCGAGTCAACCCGAACCAGACCCGCTTTGGCTATGTTTTTTTAATTTAATTTGATTTATTTAATTCTAAATCAATTTAAGCTAAGATTTACTTCAATAAATTTAAAATAAACCAAGCTTAATTCAATTTGGGCAACATGGGTTTATTATTTTTTGGAAATAACATTTACTTATTTCATAATAATCTTTTAAAACTCTCCATACATTAATTAAAAATGGGTCAAATCGGGTTGATTTCGGGTTTCCGGGTCAACCCGAACTGGTTTTACAAACGGGTCAAAATCCCTAACCCGAAATTTTTTGGGTCGGGTTTTCGGGTCCTGTCAAATATTGACACCTCTAGATTTGATCCATTTCTTAGCTTTCTTTTTGTTACGAGATTTCATGTTTGCATCGGAAGAATATGCATACTAGCATCCGAGTAAAAAAATTCATTTTGTTAATATGTACCATCGATTCTCCTTCTTGTGAGCGTGCCTTGTTTGACAATGAGCAGTTTAACACTTAGTTTGCAACGTCAGTAGTTGAATTGCGGAATTGGCATATAAGTTCTGTTTCACTTTCAAGTGGTTTAGGCATTTGCCATGGCGCACCATCATGCGGGCCTTTAAATATGGATTTTGTTGGTTGGTTGGTCTTTGAGTCAATAAGTTGCATCTTTGGTTTGTGCCATTGTTGCCATGTCAACTTTATTTCTTTATTATTATTATTATCATTGTTAAATAAATATTCCTCATATTAACATCTAATCATTCCTGGTAATAATTTTTTCTTAGTGAGTTTTCAAAACAATATGAGTCAATCATTCTATTGCATGTCTTCCCGGTTGCTTGTTTGTTGCATTTGTGTTTCTAACTCTAGGTGGAACAAGTGCTCGACATCTGGTTTCTTATTGTGCAATAGGGTTGTCAATGAACATTTAGATTGTTTATCATTGTGATGCATTGACAATTTGAACACGATTAAAAAAAAAAAAATCCCTGATATAGGGTCTTGTGCTATTTATTTATTGACTCTTTGAAATTTGTAATGTTGTGTTACTCATGGTGTTGCTCGCATATTTTCTTTCTAATATTCATTTCATAATGTTCATCATGATCATCATTCTTTATCAGCATGATTGTTGTCGGCTTGATTATATGTGGGTTTAATACAATAGTTGGTTGTCTGTCTTAAAGCATTCACTTATATGAATGGAACTGTGTTTGGTGGTTATGGCATATGGTGCATAAGTGCATTATATCTTCATATACCGCACATTACTAAATATACTTTCTGCTTGGTTGAAAATGTTTGGAAATTTCTCATTGGATTTGTACCACTCCATGACTAGTTTATTTACAGTAGCACACACATAATAAAAAAAGTCTTGTTTGGACTACCACCCACTTTTTGTGTCAAGTTATTAAATTTCTTCTGACACATGGTTAAATGTTTTCTTTCTTAAATTGATAGATCCATTCTCTATGACTGCTCCAAAAGCTCTAGACACAATTGGAAAAAGTTTGCAGGTTCAATATGAACGATGGCAGCTTCGGGTAAGAATGGTTGCTTCTAAGATAAGTTTATGTGCGCTTATAATGCATTAGACAATTGAATTGTTCTAATACATAGCAGGCTCGTTATAGACTTCAACTTGATCCTACAGTTGAGGAAGTGAAAAAGCTTTGTAGTAGTAGCCGTAAAAATGCTAGGTCTGAGAGGGTTCTCTTCCATTATAATGGTCATGGAGTTCCTAAACCTACTACTAATGGTGAAATATGGGTTTTCAATAAGGTAAACTTCATCTAAGCCATTTTGGATCATCAGGCTTTGATTCTTTGCCTTGGTTTCTTGGCTGCTTGATAGTATGGGTTATTCTTAATATTTAGCAGAGCTATACACAATATATTCCGTTGCCAATAAGTGAACTTGACTCCTGGCTGAAGACCCCATCAATATATGTTTTTGATTGCTCAGCTGCAGGCATTATTGTAAATGCTTTTATTGAGGTAAAATGGTGCCATTACACTTTCACTCTGTCACATTAGTTGTTTCTTGTGATTCGGTCTACTTTTTGGGCTTCTTAGTTGTTTCTTGTATCTCGTGATAATTTCTTTTAGCTTCAAGAGTTGAACTCTTCTGGAGCATCCGGTTCATCGAAGGATTGCATTTTACTAGCTGCTTGTGAGGCACACGAAACTCTTCCACAAAGTGCTGAATTCCCTGCCGATGTGTTCACATCATGTCTGACTACACCGATAAGAATGGCGCTTCATTGGTTAGTCTATCATTTGCTTATTGGTTCCAGTCTGCTTATATCCATTTTTATAAATATATTTATCTGTATAGCAGATAGTTGCTGTTGGTGTATTTTTGGTAGAACTTGTTAAGATATAATTCAGCATTTATTCCACTATAACTTCTATATTTTAAGGCGGTGAAGTTAGAATAATTTTTTCATGATCATTGCGGTATTGTAAGGTGTCGAAACTGTAATCATTTTTCTCTGTAACTTTACTCTGTAACTTTACCTTTGATTTTCCTGTAGGTTTGAGATTCCATGATACTTTACTATTATAAGTATTAACTTTTTCTCCCATTTCACATGTGCAAGCAATGCCATTGCCTGGCTGTTTTTGATTCCCTTTGGCACACACGGGATCAAACGGTGATGGTAGACTGGTTGCTGGCAAACTATTTCTGCTTCATAAAGCTTAATTAGACAAGCAATTACTATTCCGAGGTGGGGAGGCTTGATTTACATTGATTATATTCATTGGTGCATTTGTCAGTGGCAACAAATTCTTGATATACATTTACTGTCTTTTTCGAAGGATGATGAGATGAGGTTTTCCTTGTGAAATGATTTTCCTCAATCTTAGCGAAATGATGTTTTGCTCCAAACTACTTGCTTAAATGTTTTTTATTTACGACGGTTCCGTTTATTTTCCTCTGATTATAGGCTAAGCTTCCAAGTTATTGGATCAGTTGCTTAAAAAATGGATTGTATCTTCAAATATTAGGTGTATGTACTTCGTATGGCTGCGGAATGAAAGAGGAATGAAAGAAATATTGTTATCTGGCATTAAGTTGGAAATACACAATATTCAGTACTCAGCTGATAATAGCTGTTTGCTGGTTCTAGACACTAATGTTCTTGTTAGAACCTTACACATTTGCATCATAATTATGTGTTTGTTTATATTCATGCACGTGCATTCAACTTTAAATAGATGTTGCTTTCATAATCTATAAAATAAGTTGAAATAACACAAAGGCGTATGTGAATGGAGCATGATTAATGTGGAGGTATACACGGAGTAGGTGGTTGATCAACGATAACATGTCATTCAAAGTAGGGGTGTAAATAAGCCGAGCTCAAGCTTGAGTTATGCCTAGCTTTATCTTGAGCTACCCCTAGCTTTAGCTTGAGCTTGAGCTCAAGCTTTAAGCAAGATATTTTAGAGAAGGACAATGATGATGGGTATAAAGTCTACCCAGGTTTAAGGTGGTGACTGGTGATGGGTGCAGCTGCGGAGTGTTCACTCATTCAGGCTTTTTTGTGATTTGTCTGATAATGAGGAATTATTTCTTGCTCAACTTATTTTTGTGTGTAAATGGCAATTGTGATTGTATGATGAGGATCTGATCTGACCTTACAAAAGTGGTGTGGGTTTCTGATAATTGTTTTTTAGGTTAGTATTGATGTTGGGATCTGCTTCCAAAACAGGCATAATGCTAATTGGGATTTCTGTTTGCATGCATGCATGCACTTGTGTGCTCTTCAGTTTGCATGATCCATTTCATTTTGATGCTAAAAGGTTATTCATGCAGTAATAAATAGTGATATTATTAAATCCCAGCGAAGGGCGTTGCCGTTCTTATTATGCTGTTTGGGCACAATATCATCGAAATCAATTTGTGAGGTTGTCAGACTTTCTTTACTACTAGATAGTGCCTGAGACAATGTGCGGTGAACATGTTGAATTTAAATGGATGGTAAAACTAGTAATAAGGGTTTGTTTTGTTATATTTTTCTTAAATAATAGATAAAAAAGGGTTTGTTTTGTTGAATATTTTCAAAATACATGCATTTTAAAAATTCAAAGTATTTGGAATTCATGCATTTCAGAAATGAAGGAGTTGTTTGGTTGGATGCAAATATTGTGTGTTTGTTTTGATACATTTCAAATGTATTAAAATGGGATTGAGGGCGGGTGATTAATTATAATTTTTTTTGAATGATTAGCAGTCTAAGTAAAATTTATACTTAATTGGTCAATATCAAATTTAATTAATAGTTTAAAGTTAAACCAAAATAATCTTAAATTAAAGTTTTAAGTAATTGACTAATTTCTAATTAAAAATTATAAATAGTTTTCCATAGATTCAATGCTTAATTAATTGATAATTTAATTAAACCATGTTTAATTTTCATAATTAAATAATCCTAAAACTTTATTAAATAGTGATCATAAAAACTAAATTATTTATGAAGATTAATTATAGATTATAAAAAATAAACTTTAGTGATCTTGTTGTGTGATAGAAAAGTCCCTCTCAAACTTAAGGGAAAAATTCTATAAGATGGTAGTGAGACCTGCAATGGTTTATGGTGCAGAATGTTGGTTATTAAAAGAGAAGCATAATATTAAGTTAAGTGTTGCAGAGATGATGATGCTCAGGTGGATGAGTGACTTTACTCTTAGAGACGGGATACAAAATGAGCATCTACGTGAAAATGTTGGAGTAGCTCTAGTGGAAGATAAGATTAGAGAGAGTCGCCTTAGATGGTTTGGTCACATAAAACGGCGGCTTTCCGATGATCCGGTTAGGAAAGTAGATGTATTAGATTTGACTTATGTCAAGAAAAGTAGAGGTAGACCTAAAAAGACTTAGAAAAAAATAGAAATGACCTTTCTTTATTAGATTTAGATGAGAATTTGACTCTTAACATGACACAATGGAAAAAAAATGGTTCATTTAGCCGACCCCACATAGTGGGATAAAGGCTTGTTGTTGTTGTAGTAGTAGTGATCTTGTACTCTTAGTTTGGAATGATTCAAATCATCTTAGGAGGGGTCAAAATCTAGAAAGCTTAGTGGCAATGTTGGCACTCAAAGTGGTTAGAAGCAATGAGGACATGATCAATAAACGAGAATGCACAAATTGTTTGGCTAATATATATATATATATATATATATAATATTGTTTTGACATGACCCATTTTTGCAGACGGGTCATAAATTTCAAATCGGACCCAAACCGTTGTGTTTTCGGGTTGACTCGACCAGACACGAAACCACAGTGATTTGGTCGAAGAAGCGCACAAATGGGAGAAATTGGTTACCTTTGCAACGAGCTCCCTCCCTCCCGTCATTGTTGTTACTTCCGAAAAAAAAAAGAAGAAAAAAGAAAAGAAAAGAAAAGAAAAGACAAGCTATTGTGACTTTCGACCCGACAGGAAGGAACATCGTCGAAGGAGGCGAAGAAGTATTTTATCGACTCGTTCAAAACATTACCTCACACGCTAATGGGTGAAAATGGTTACCTTCAAATCGCAACGAGCGAGCTCCCTCCTATCGTCTTTGTTACTTCCGAATTCCGATCCAACAAAAGAACAGCGAGCAGCGAGCTGTCGCGAGTTCCGACCCGACAGGAAGGAATGTCGTCGAGGGAGGTGAACGTCGGCGAGCTGTCGTTGACTGCAGCATGCGAGCGGCAGAGCGGGGTCTACCACCAGATGGCGGAAACTGTGTTAGTGCTCAATTATACGCCTGAATCGAGCGGGGTCGGAAGGCAGAAGCTAAACTGAGCGGTTAGCGGCTTAATCCGCTTATATGCATGTCAAAGCGGGTCAAAATTGGGTCCAAGTCTGAAATCGATCCGGAATTCGAAATGGGTCAAAAATTCGGACCCGAACCGACTCATTCTTAAATTGGGTTGACCCTAACCCGAAAAATTCTGGTCAAATTTGAGTCGGGTTTTTCGTGTCGTGTCAATTTTTGAATACGTACCAATCCCATAAGTATTGCTGTCCTTATTGCTAAAGGTACTTGCTGATGGGGATTGGGTCCCCTAACTCAGGCCCTACTACCAGGACAGAACAAATGTTTACTTTCTTATCATGTCGAGCCTTTGTCAGTATTCCAAATAATGACGTCGGGCTTCTTTCTTGAGGTCTCTAAAAACAGAGCGGCACAAAAATCAAAGGAATATTCCCCCTGAAAGGAGTCCCACAATGGAGTGAAGTTATTTAGAATCTTATATAGGACTATAGGAGAGATAAAAGCACAGAAACTACCTGTATGAGCAGCAATTATGGAGAGGGAATGGATGCCTGTTGAGCTTGTCAAATTATGGGATCGGGGACTGTAAGATCTGATACAATTTTGATGCCGTTCCTCAATCATGAAATCATCAAATCCTTTTTGATTGGAAAAATACCTATTTCTTAACAAGTTAAGGTCTGTGCGTGTTGTTAATTTACAAGAAAGAAGCGACAGGAACAGAATGAATGATTGTGTATGCTTTAATACATTCATATTAGGCCGAGTTGACAAGGTTTGAACCATTAAACAGTGTAACATGCAGGGGAGAAAGTCATTATTGAACTGTCTTCATTTTTCAAATATTGATTTTGCCAAAGGCCATGTTCTCATGCATTTTGGTCCCTTGTAGTCGCTAATGCAACTTTTTAGTTGCAGCTTGATAATACTTGGATTTGTAGATACTTTTAAAAGTTTCTTATATAGTGAATTTCGATGTTGCAACCTAAGACCATTTGTTTCTGCATATCAAGATGCAGAAGCTGCAAATGTATCCAATGTTTCCATATCAGGAGATAGCATCTAAAGAATCGTTGGTTGTAACTTGCTATTCCTTCAATTTGTTTTTGTACCACTGTATATGATTGGAACTTTAATTTCTGATGGCAAATATTGCTTTGATTATGTATTGGTAGCTCTTAATATCTTAGATTTTTTTTCGTTGCACCATATGACAATTTAATGTTTTTGACGTTTCATCTTAGAATACTGTTTTTACAAACTCTATTTTCATAATTATTTTTCCCATAACTTCTAATGGAAAAAAAAATTTCTTCTGTTTTATTACATCGACAACTTAAGATAGGAACATTGTCTACTTATTCTTATATCGTTATTTTTGAAGAAACTCTGATGTATTTTCCTCTAGGAACCCACATTTCCTTATGATTCTCTTGGCAGTTGCTATTTTTGTGCTTGATATAATTTTAAAATCTGGACGTTTAAATTTGCGGGTATTGCCAATTTGATAATCTTTTATTGCCTTAGATAAAATGTGTTGGCAAGAACTGCAACTTGTTTGTAGAAAATATCATTTACTTGTCAGTCGACTACTTGACTTTAATTTTAGGGCTTAACCTTAATACCCGCCTGGATGATAACTGGCGCTTCTTTGGAAGGCTTGTTTTATGAATTCTTATTTTCTTTGTAATTAATAATTGACGATGTTTCTTGCACAGGTTTTGCTCCCGGTCATTGCTTCATGATTCTATTGACCATTCTTTAATTGACAAAATTCCTGGTCGTCAAAATGATCGGAAAACACTTCTAGGGGAGTTAAACTGGATTTTTACAGCTGTCACGGACACCATTGCATGGAATGTTCTGCCTCATGGTATCTATTTTGTGGTCAATTACTTGTTTTGCTGCTTGCTTTTTTTTTTCTTCTCTTGAATATTTCTGTTAATGTTCTTGGGATTGACAATTCACAGACCTTTTTCAAAGGTTATTTAGACAAGATTTACTGGTTGCTAGTTTGTTCCGAAACTTCTTACTTGCTGAAAGAATTATGAGAACGGCAAATTGTACTCCGATATCATATCCTTTATTACCATCAACTCATCAGCATCACATGTGGTAAAATTTCAAGAAATTGCTGTTATTTTTCCAATTCTATGGATTCCATCGTGTCTTTTTTATAAGCACAGATGTCAATTTCCAGGGATGCATGGGATATGGCAGCTGAGATTTGCCTTTCTAAATTGCCACAGCTGCTTGCTGACCCATCTGCTGAATTTCAGGTTTCTGTTATTATTAACATTTATGATTAAAGGTTTACTTAAACATTTTGTGAACATTATATAATACTGGAATGCTCAAGGAGGTAGTTAGCGTCTGAGTCACAAAACACTCCCCGTCCTTTTGCAATTAATTGATCTCCTTTTTTTGTCAGCCAAGTCCATTTTTTACAGAACAGTTGACAGCTTTTGAAGTGTGGCTTGATCATGGATCTGAGCATAAAAAACCACCAGAGCAGTTGCCAATAGTTTTGCAGGTGAATCACTTGTGACTCTAGATGCAATTTTCATGTTCAATCGACTGTTAATTATGTTTGAAATTGAATGGACATATTGTTGTTGTTTTTGTTTTGTTTATTGATGTTCTTGAATGGTGATGCAAGCATTGAGAATTTGAGATCGACTTTGCTTTCTTTCTTCCTTCCCTTAACATAGATTCATATTCTTGCGTGTTTATAAGGAAATTAAAATGTTTTGAATTGCCATTATTTAATTTCATAATGAAACTCTGTGGTGGGTGAAGAAACAGAGGTCTCTGCCAAAGTTTAGCTGAGAAAAGAAGAAAGGACAGAATGTGATATTGAGTAAAGTTGATGATCATTTCTGTAGCAGGATATTACATATATGTAGGCAGTACCATCTAATGCTGGCTTTACACATGTATAGCTCAGATGTAATGGTTTGTTAGGATCTAACAGTTACAAATATTCCACTAGGACTGCTGTTGGTTGTGAGTTTAGTGCTTATCTGTCTTTGTATAGGCTCATAGTGGTGATAACCGTTCATACGCCCCTGCCAGTTGATGGGGAGGCTGAACTGTCAGCTTGTGTCTTAGAAGCTGAAAACGCTTGGTTGAGAGCGGTTTGGTGAGAATGTCAACCACTTGGTCTATATCTTATGGGAAGTATACGAATCTCGGTGGTGTCAATGTGATCACGGATGAAGTGATGATCGACTTCTATGTGTTTGGTTTTGGCGTGAAATACCGGATTATTGGCAAGGAAAATAACAGATGTGTTGTCGCAATGAATATTTGACTCTTATTGAGCTTCTTCTCTAAAGAACTTTTTCCTCTCTCTACACATTTCATCATAATCTACCAATCTATCTTAGATGATTTGATCTTTCATAGTCTTTCTATTTTAGCATCTATATTATAAACATTTTTGAGCATACTATTATAGATTTATATTACCTTGTAAGAAAGGCGTAAATATGTAATATGTAAAATAACATATGAATCCTTAGATATGTATGATAATTCATATGGCTTGCACAATATAACAATAACATGTGATTATTTTTAGTAGGTGAACATGAGCAATACATTAGATTTTTTAATAATATTAAATAATATTAACATGCTCAATATGAAAAGATTTGTACTACCATTCACATAATAATCTAATATCATTATAGGAAGGAACAAACAATAGCCTTAAGAATATTTTTGCTCCCTATGTTGAAATTCGAGTGTCTCACTACAAATATTGGATCCTTTTAACTTATTTATTTAATTCTGACATCTAGATCTTGATCTTTTGTATATGAATAAATAAAGACATTCAATTCCTTAGTTTAAATCAATTTTTTTATTTAATATATCTAACTCAAATAATCCTAAAATAACATTTTTACTTAAAAATAATTTCATCTCATATAAGCTTTTAAGCATATACAACTCGATTCTTAGGAAGAAATGTGGAAGACTGAAATTTTTACCTAAATCAAAAACTCTGTCTTTTCCTATGGCAGCTCTCCCACGTGGCTCTGTAGGTCCGTAATTGAGTTGTGGCATATGAGGGATTATAATGAATACTTAGGGCTATATATATATAATGTTTTAAGAATTTAATTTCATTGTATGAAAAATACTATAGTTTATTTGCTTTTACATTAGAGGAAAAGTTGCATGCAACAGATGATGATTTGGGTGAATGGCCGTGATGGTTTGTTAAGGACATATATATATGTTGAATATTCTCAGTGAGGTATAAAATTTTAGAGAAATTTTAATCTTACCTTTTTGGCGTTTTTGAGTATTTCAAATTTTTAGAATTTCTTTGGTGTACTGTGTGGGCTTTTTGGCGTTTTTGAGTATTTCAAATTTTTAGCATTGCTTATTTTTGTGAATGCCTTAAGATTTCTTACCCAAGATTTAACAAGGGCTATGTTTGGTTTCCCGGAGAAAGCAGAAACCATATAAATATCATTTGGGGTGCTTAGGTACTTATCATCAAAGAAGTCAATACGGAATTTGTGTTGTAAGTGTATGAAAATGCATGGGTTTCCAAAATTACATTGGGTTGCATGAAGCATAAGTTGGGGATTGTTCTTTTTAGGAGCACATCATCATTTAATGCATTCATTTGCCCTAATCTAAACCCCTACAAAATTAGATCAACTTTGTAAGCTGTTTAATTACTTAGAGTTTGTTTGTTTTGATATTTATGGTTTATTCATGTCATTGCTTCTATCATTTGTTAATATGTGCTCATTTTTGGTGATAATGAATCTTATTAATTTTTTTAATTGCCCCATCTATAATAACACGCTAAAATGCCTCTTTGTGCTGCTAGAATGATGACACAAAAAAAGATTGAAATGAGGAAAAGAAATTTTTGGGTACACGCTTACACATTTTAAAAATAGATAAGGGGAAGTATATAAATAAATAATAATATATATAATAATGTTAGATAATTCTAAAAATGATTAAAAAATAATAAGTATTCTGAAGAATAATAATAAATAAATGTAAGATAATATAATTTTGAAAAAGGTAATAATAAATTAAAATAATGTTTATCAATTGTGAAATTATTATTAATAATAATATAAAAATATATAGAGATAAAAAATAATTTGAATTTATATGTATCACAGTATATATATTTGGTTAAATATCCTTGTTGTATGTTATTTAGAGAAATGTACTCAAAAGTTCATTTTGAATGAAATTTCCTTGAATGAGGGATAACTATTATATTTGTAGGCTGCTCATTGGACTCTCAAATAATTCAAAATTGATTCAGATTGGCTCAAATTTAGACTAACTTGAATTGGTTTAAACCAAGGTTTGAATATTTATTAGCAAGCTTTTAAGTTTGTCATTCTCACATGTGATGAAGCTTGCTGAGGGAAGGCATTGATGAGATCGACAATATATGAAGGAGAACAAGAGTTTTTGATGATATATTGGTGGGGGAAAGAGTTAACGGGATTCATCATATAAAGGAGAAGAGTTCGTGATGGGAACTCTTTGGGGGTAAGCATTGATGGGATTGTCAAAGCATAAAGGAGAAGAGGTCATTTAGGCGTTTGATTGATGACAAGTGAAGGATAATTGGAGTTTGTTGTAGGAGCTTGCTGGGTGTAAGGGTTGGTGAGAGCAACAATATGTTAAGGTGAAGAGGAGTTCATGGTAGGAGTTTGTTAGGGGAAAGTATTGACGTGATCGTTGACATTTGAAGGAGAGGAGTTTGTGATGGGTGCTCGCTTGGGACAATCATCTATAGGGCTGGTGACGTGTGAAGGAGAATTGTTTATGACAGGACCTTGTTGGGGCTAGACATTGAGGGGACTGGCAGCGTGCGAAGAAGATCCTTGCCTGTGAATGACTCCATCTCTGGTGAGAGGATGAACCACAATGTGTTTGCATGGCGATATGGAACAAGGTTCAAATTTTGGTTCAAACTAGGTTTAAACCAGTTCAAATCATTTCAAACTCTCGAACTCAGACCATTTTCAAAAGAATTAGAAGTCCAACATGCCTTATTTTGGATAATTTTATCCAAAATTCATGCATACTTCACAAAATAAATATATATATAAGAGATATTTAGCCAGCTAAGTGTATTAAGAGGCATAAAGTTAAAATTTTCAATTTAAATCAAACCAAACAAAAGAAAAGTATAAAAATATTTAATAAATAAATAAACAATTAAACTAAATGATTGAGGTCGACAAATGCCACCTAGCGAGGGATTGTTAATCCAAAATAAGAATCAATTGGCACTTTGTAAAATAATGGGAAGTCACATAGGGGTTCACCCCTATTATTATGATAAATAATTTAAACCAATCATTTATAAACCTTTATTTCTATCTCTACATCTCTCTCATTTTTTTCTTCACACTTGTGCTTGGCTCGAATAAGTTGATCAATTCTTCTTTGTTACACCATTTCCCTCCCTATCTTTGTTTATACTCTCCCCATTTTTCTATCTCTAAATGCACTTCTCTGCATTGCAAATGGGTCAGCATTGTAGCATGACGTATATGGAGCTAACTTTAGACCTTGCATGCTCCTCGGATGTGTTTGCTTGATACGACGAGGATGTTATTATTTTATTTTTCTATGTAGGGCCTCAAAAAAGTCTATAAATGTCTTTCTTGACGTGGTGGGGTAGATTTGATTTTGGCTTCAACATCCTATAAATCATCAATGCATGCCTTACTTGTCATGATGGGAAAGCATGCCAGGTCTTTTGGCATTTCCTTTATTGGGACCTTGGAGATTTGCTACTAAAATTAACCCACAAAAGTTAAACCAAACTATTTAGAAAAAAAAAAGCAACCTAATTGAAATTGGTGAACTCAAAACGCAAAATACACTTGGAATTATACTACGAGTTGCATAAAAGTGAAATAATGGGCAAAATAAACTTGCATGTATTTTGGAGGTTCACCAATCACTACGAGTCAGAATGCCCCACCGTACATGCTTCAGAATGATGCTAAAATCATATGCGAGCCAACCTTATTTATACACATGGTTTTCTCCTCTCTGTGACTTAGATGTGGTCGCGAGTAAAAATTTTTTTAGTACTCATGAAAACTACATATTGTAATGCACGTATGAAGCAACCAACAAAAATGTGAGAAATTTGAACCAGGATAATTTTATAATGATCAATATCCATTGCATGACAAAGTCAAATTCAAATTATGTTGCTTCAAAAAATATGTAAGCCTCCTCTCTGATTTGAAGATATCATTGGGGAACATGAGCATACCTTTGAGCAAATCCGGAGGTAAAGGAAAGTTCATGATATTTTGTGGTATTTTTGAATAAAAATAACAAATTAATAAAAAGAAGAAAAAAAAATCACAAGAAATATAAAAAAAGTAGGGAAAATTCCATAGGCATTTGAACTTTCTTGCATCTCCTCAAGCTCATTTTGAGGTGGGCTACTTCTTTTTTCTTTGTCAAAAAATATTGATGTCCTTAAAAGAATTTCACGGAAATTATACAGAAGGGTATGAATATCTGAGAGAATATAAAATCTCATTTTTGGTCCAATCCTCCTCATTCCAGATGCGGTTTCAATACACCCTGACAAATGTGAAAGTAAGTAAATACTGATTAAAATTTGCTATGGTTTGATCCTCTATGTATGTGAAACATAGTTAAGATGTCTTTTGATAATCCGCCAATTGAATAACAATAAAATGCTAGAAAAGTTCCCTTTTTCAATTAAATCGATCTTTTTCACCTAAGACTTGGGATGAGTAATTCAACATTGAATCTCACCAAAATATTTGATATTGCATTTGCATAAAACCTTTCATGGCAAAAAATCCTTTAATAAAAGAAAGCTTTTCGGGCCACCTTGCTTGTATGGTAGCGTTGTAAGTCCCAATCTTTTGTCTTGATCCTCGGCATGTAAATGAGAAAGGAAGCTAAGTCCATGGCTCTCTAATAATTGCCCAAATTAAAATAAAGTTTTTTTTCTTAAATCAAATTGGACTTTCTATCATCAATTGGTGACCAAAAATTCAATCATAAGTATTATTAAAGACTTTTTCAATGCTTTTGCACTAGGACCAGAAAGCCTTTTGACACAAAAATTCATTTAACTATAAAGCTTTATGGGTTGTCCTTATTCTATGACAAGGTCGTAAGTGCTAAACTTTAGACCTTCAAATCTTAGGGATGTATGCCAAACCCCTGATGCAATTCATCTTGCAATTAATATGAGGAAATTGAATTCTAATGCTATACACACGGAGATTTGGCTAGACTCGATCTTCAACATTCAAGGCATGCTGTGCTTAAATTTTTGAGATGTAAACTTAACCTCTAATGAAATATAAGTTATGCTTCATGCGGAGAAATTGAATCAAAAGTGCTAGCCACATGAGTAAATAAGTGGAGTTGATATCTAGTTTGATAATCATTATATGAAGGATAAAATAAACATATAAGCTGATTGTACTACCCAACTTTTGAACGTAGTCTTATGGGAACAAATAGCAGTGTTGATAAGACCCATGCTATAATGATCCCATGGAAAGATAAGAACAAGCATTTATGTCTTGATTGGTGTGCAAACATGATTGCCCCACACCAGTAAGAGATGAATGATTTCTAAACATGGAAATTTTATGTGTGCATTCAAAGCAACTTTACCCTTATGGCGATTTAAGGTTTCTTACGTGACGTCTTCCCCTATTTTGAATTCAATTATTAGAATACTATAATTGATGGATTCTCATTACAAAAAGTGCTCTCTTAAAATCCAAAAGAAATGCATTTCAGGCCTTTTTTTATGATGAACATAATCATAGTAAATCATAACCAGAGGGAATTTGGCTTACATCTAACTCCTACAAATATATAAAATAAATAAAAATATATAAAAGCATAAAAATCTAGCCGTAGTTAGAGCAATCATTCATCCACCTTTGCTTAGATTAACATTTTAGTTTATCCAAAGTTTATAGAAAGTTAACGCCATATCATGTTTATCCATATGAACACCCCCAAAAGCTTATGCTAGTAAGGTTGTGTCATGCCACCTCTTAATTAGGCTATTAGCCTGATTGTAGTGATTCTATTATAGTATGACTATGACCCAATCTTAAAATTTTCTAATAGCTAAGTCTCGGAGTTGTGAGACATATGATGCACTTAGTAGTGCATGAAACCCTTTATTAGCCATGAAAAATTAGCCCCTTCAAAAAGCTTTCACCCTAAGCGTAGGTGGTCTTTTAGATGATACAACCCATAGTTAGGTTGGGTCAATTACCTTCATTGCGTGACTAACTCAGGTTCTAGGATACCCCAGGACAATAGAATTATGGAATATTGATCAAAATTTTCATCATTCTTCGACTATTCGGTGTAATGCAATATCAATATTCTTTCCTCGAAAAAAATGTTAAACAAAACATCATATAGCCCTAGACTAGCTTTAATTGAAATGCTCTCTCATGTTCAAGTGGGGTGATTAATTAACTGTATCATCTTACTTCTATGAAAAATCTTGAACCAAATTATGAAGTCTTCACAAAATCTATGAAAAAAGTGGATAATGACTTGTCTAATATCCATTCCTTTTGTTAAAGCAATCTGAAATCACTCAAATATTCAAAAAAGTTGGATGGAGTTATTTTGAGTTCACACACTTGTTCATTTTATTGATTATTTATGTACGCTATTAATTCCTTTATTTGGTAGATGTTGCTTTAGTTTAGTGTATCATCTACACTTAAAACATATTTTAATTTTTATATGGTTGAATAAATATACAAGGTACATATATATGATGTAGGCAAGGAATGGATCAAAACAAGTTGAGTTGAAAATTTTGTAAGTTCTACTTGAATCAGCTCACTAATGAGCCTCTTCTTATGTTTCAAGCTCATAAATGCTTTCCTCTACTAGATATCAGCTCATTAATGTCTAGTAGAGAGCCTTTTTAGCTCATAAATTGAGGTTCATTCCCCCATTTGTTGTCCCTTTGGTTCCCGTGGTTGGTTCCTTGGTTCCCGCGCCTTGGCTCCTTGGTTCCCACGGTTGGCTCTTGGATTTCCGTGCCTTGGCTCCTTGGTTCTTGCGGCTGCCTCTTCGGTTCCTGGTTGGGCTGTTTCCCGTGAGTGTATGGGGCTTTTCCGTGGCTTGATGCTTTGTTTCCTGGAATTGACTGTTGGCTTTTCATATTCCCTATTTAAATAAGCTTTTAAATTAATGTTGTGGCTATTTGTATTCCTCTCTCATGCCTATATATAAAGATGTTTTGTGTATGTTTAAGTAATGTTATGTGAATGATTTTTGGAAAATGTAAACATGCGGGTTTTGTTGGAAAAGCTTGCGAGCTTTTTCCACTTCTTCTTCTCTTCTCCTCTAGGAAATCTTGCGAGCTCTTTCCACCCTTCTTCTCGGCTTCTAATCTCTTTCTTCTCTTCGCAAGTGACCACCTCACCTATATCCCTCTTCTTTTGGAAAGCAAGTTTAGGTTGTCTTGTTTTAGTCGTTTGTAAGAGTCTTTGTTTGTAAGTCCTTTTATAATATTAAAGTTGTGTTTTGTTTTGTTAGTTATATTTTGTCAAGTTTTTGAGTATTTTATGTCTTTCTATCATCCTAGAAAGAGTCTTGTTTTTGTGATAAAAAATTTGGGCCCCTCCCCAAATTTTTGATTGCATCAATATAGATGAATGCTCGTAAAGGACCATAGAAAATATAATTAAATTTACTCAACTTTATTTATTAGAGCGTCATTATCACTTATTCGAAAGCAGATGTGGTATAAATGAGGTGCGATCAAATCTGGATGGATGAATTAAGCTATGATTATATTAAAGATTATCAAACTAGCACTTATTGAAGATGAGTTGATGGAGCACATCATCGGTAGAAAATTCATCAATAAAATTAATTTGGTGGGACTAGGAAGGAAAATTTGATGGACGGTTGGTATCATTGCTAGAAGTGTGTTCTGACCTAGAAGTAATGTTGAGTGAGAATTCATAATCAATTTTTCAGGAGTTGGGGTAAGGCTAGTGATGATGATGATGCGCAGTAGACTAACGCTTTTTAGTCCAGATTTCAAGCTGTTAGTGCTTCCAACTTGTTCAATGCCGGTAAAACTTGGTGATGAGTTTGCAGAATAAGCTGATCCCAGCAATAACCAGTGTATGCTATTTTGCTAGCTCAAGTTTTACATGGTCCTACGTGCTATCTGACTCGTGTATAAATGTCTATTCTGATGAAATTGATTTCATTTACTAACATGCCCTATGCCGTAGCTACTGCAGTTACTTTTCTTATGAAAATGTCGCATCTAGTTGGTGTTCTGAATTCCAGTTCCCTTCTTAGTAATATTTACCTTTTTTAGTAGAATCTTTACGGTCAGGCTTGGTGGCCAATATTTTTATATTATTATTATGGTCCTCCTGGCTGAGTTTAAATACTTAATAAAAAATGATGTCTTAGAAGTTGCTAACTGCCTATTTAATTACTATACAGCCTTAAGAAGCATTAAAAACTGCTCTAATCTTTTAGGTCATTGGAGTTGTATTGTTTATTACCACCCTTAAGAACTTATGCATGGACTTTACACTAGCATTCAATTGTTGGTGACTTCTAATCCATTATTGTTCTTAAATATAATATTCTTCAGTGTGTTTATGGCTAAAGTTTTCCTGGAAAGCTCTACTGTGGTGGCATATTGAGGGACGAACCATCCTAAGGAGTAGTCTACTATATTATAATATGGATGACAGGATGAGTTTACAGAAGTTGAAGTGCGGATTGTTGGTACCGTGTTTATTTGATGAAAATTCTTGAAAGTGAAGAAGAGATACATAGCTTGAGACCTAGTGCTTCAATCCCTTAAATTTGAATGGTGCAATTCAAACTGCAGTGATATATTACCATTAATGCTGACTTGACCATATTTTCCTAGGCTTTGCTTGTGCAGTTGTACAGTCCCCAGACTTTGAAACATCTGTAACCCACGTTTCACCTATCAAACAATGACTAGCAGCACCAGAATTTCTATTTCTTCCTGTTTTGCCTATTTTTCTTAGACTTTTAAATATCTTTCCATCATTTCAAATTTTTTAGGTTTTACTCAGCCAGTCTCATCGGTTTAGAGCATTGGTGCTTCTAGGCAGATTTCTTGACATGGGGCATTGGGCTGTGGATCAGGTACTGTATTAGTTTGCTGGTATCATGGCTATATTTTGGAAATGAGGGAACTGTTTATTTGTGTACATTCACTGATCTCAATAATGTTATAATCCCCCCTTTAGGCCTTATCTGTTGGAATATTTCCTTACGTGCTCAAGCTGCTTCAAACAACAGCAACGGAACTGCGACAAATTCTTGTGTTTATTTGGACAAAAATTCTTGCTCTTGACAAGGTATTGTTGATATACACTCTGACTGTTTTGCATACTAATTTATCCTTGTATTTGGTTGTTCTTCCATGGCATTCTATATATGAACTAAAATATTTGCTGATGGGAGGAAGAATGTGTAATGTTGGCGTTTATTTGATGCTGTAGCAAGTCATTTTTGAGATTGTGAAACTGTTAAGTTTATTTATTTATTTTTTTTTTGAAAACTAGTCTTGTCAGGTTGATCTTGTGAAAGATGGAGGCCATACCTATTTTATTAAATTTCTTGATAGCATGGATGCTTTCCCGGAGCAGCGAGCAATGGCTGCCTTTGTTTTAGCAGTTATTGTTGATGGACACAAGCGGGGACAAGAAGCATGCATCCAAGCAAATCTCATAAATGTATGCTTGAAGCATCTGCAGCTGGCAATCCCCAATGAAGCACAGACCGAGCCTCTCCTCCTTCAATGGTTATGCCTTTGTCTGGGAAAATTTTGGGAGGATTTTCATGAAGCACAACTCATTGGTTTACAATCAGATGCACCGGTTATTTTCTCTCCATTGTTATCAGAGCCACAACCGGAGGTTTGCCCCGTTTCTCCCCATTACCTGCTCGTGCAAACTTGACCTGTTGTACCAGGGCAATTTATGTGAATTAGGTAGTAATCGTTATGTTTCAGGTTAGAGCTGCTGCCATTTTTGCTCTTGGCACCCTTATAGAAGTTGGATCTAATTCATTCAGAGATGGAAATGGAGGTGATGAGGATTGTGATGTGGATGACAAGGCTAAAGCTGAGCTGAGTATTGTCAAGAGTCTTATGCAAGCTCTTGGAGATGGAAGCCCTTTGGTTCGGTCTGAGGTTGCTGTTGGTATGTGAATACTTCTTTTGATATGTGAAACTTAGTTAACCACTTTCAACATGACTTCCCTGTCCCCACAGGCGTTGAATACTTAATAAATAATGGGACTTGATGCCATGCGTAAGCTGTCTTAGTGTATGGAACTTTAGGTTCCCATCACCTTCACGACCAAACTTTGGTTATCATTTTGATTTCGTCAGCAAGCAGAACTGTTGTGCCTACTCTTTTGTAGTGGTTTTATAAGTTATTTCTGTAATTCATTCTTATTAGTGTTTTATTTCCTGTTACTTTTTTTTTTTTTTGAGATTTTCTTTTGAATTTCTAATTGATTTAGCTGTTGATCTAGCTGCCTTGTTTTCTTCCTTATCTTTCTTTCACTCTTAAATATTTCTTCTTTTTCATACGTTAAATTTTCAATCCATCATGATCTGTTTCCTACCATTTTTGTAATTTGAGAGTAAATCCCATATTTCCTCATTGATTCCGGTTCCTTTCTTCTCCCTTTTCTTTATTTCTCGCTCTTACTTATTTGCATAAGTCAGTAATCTTTTTCCCACACAACATTCTATTAGACCGGTCCAGCCAGTCCGCACAGGACTAGCATTTCGCAAACTGACGCGGGATCTCCGTCTTCTGTGGAGATCGGGCGGCCCGACCGCCCAAGCAGAGCTTTTTAGGAAGTTTTTTTGAGGGTTTTGAGAGGAAAATTTGAATATAGGGACTGTTTAGGGATTTCCTTTTGATTTGTATGCATTAAATAGTTGTTTTTGCTAGGGTTAGGACATTGGATTTGGGATCTCTTAGATTTTAGGTTTCCTTTGGGCTCTAGCTACTATAGAGATTTGGGACAGATTGATCCTCCTCTCGAATAGAGGATCAAGTGTATCTTGCTATTTTCCGTTTCGCTTTCATCAAGTAATACAAATTATCTATTGTTTTTTTTTTGTGATTTTGTGGAGAAAGCTCGCTGTTTTTTGAAGATTGATAGAAAATACTTGAGATCTTCAAGTGTTTCCTCTCAAATTGGTATCAGAGCACGTCGATCGAAGGGAATCAATGGCCTGAAGGAAAGTGAAAATTTTGGAGGGAGAACTTGGGCAACTCAAAGCAGATTTTGAGGAAAAGATGACTTGTTTTCAAAGTTAGATTGCATCTGTCAATGAAAGATGGAGGAAAAGTTCGCAGTGGTGGAAGACTTGTCAAAGAAATTGATTGAAGCCAAAACCAAACCTGTGACATCAGAAGCAAAGGAAATTACCGACGACCATGGAAGAGATGGGAACCCTAACACGTCTAGGGGAAGGGTAAAGACAGAAGTGGAGATCCTGGAGGGAGAAAGACGAAATGCCTCCTCTAGAAACCACTTTCTAGGGAGGAGATGAGCATTGGCTACGCAAGAAGGGTTGCTGAATTTGTAAGGCGAGGAGATGATTTCGATCGCCGGGGTGCTGATTTTGAAAGAAGAAGAGGGGATTTTGATGAATGGTTTGGGTATGATCGCCAGAGGGAAGATTGTGACAATTGGAGAGCACCGCCACTTCGAGGAATCAGAGGTTATGGAGGATTTAGGGGAAACGAATGCGACCCGAGGGTGAGGAAACTGAAGATGCCAATCTTTGAGAGGGAGGATGCACACGGGTGGATCTACAAGGTAGAAAGATATTTCGCCGTCAATGGGTAGACAAAGGAGGAGAGGTTGAAGGCAGCTGGCCTATGTTTAGAAGGAAAGGTTTTGTCTTGGTATCAGTGGAGGGACATGCGATGACCCATACGAAGTTGGAGAGAGTTCAAGGATTTTTTGGTAGAATGTTTCCGAACTGGCAGGGGAGGAGACTTCTATGAGCAGTTCTTTGCCTTGGCGTAGGAGGGTTCAGTGACGGAGTACCAGGAGAGATTCGAGTACCTTGCTAGCCGATTGGACCGCCTTTCTGAGACAGTGCTAGAGGGAAACTTCATTAAGGGGTTGACACCAGAGATCGGAGCAGCAGTTAGAGTAATGAGGCCTCGTGACTTGGGAGAGGCTATGAAGTTAGCTCAATTGGTAGAAGATCAGAAGCACCTGGAGGGAGAGACGGGAGGAGGCAGCTCAGGAGGCTCGTACAGGATGACCGTCACTATATTGAAATTCAAGGAGCCAACACTGGATACTTTTCGAGGGACTTCAAAGGAAAAGATTGCGGGAGGAATACCTGGGGATAACTTCAAGAAGCCCACAGAGACAGAATTACAGAAGAAGAGGGTGAAGGGGTTTTGTTTCAAATGTGACGAAAGGTTTACGCCGCGACACAGGTGTAAGGACCGAACTCTTCAGGTTCTTACTATTTGTGATGAAGAAGGAATGGAGGGTGTTGTCTTTCCACCTTGCGGACAAGGTGGATCTTTGGGAGGGTAGTATTGTTAGACCGGTCCGCACGGGACCGACATTTCGCAAACTGACGCGGGATCTTCGCCTCCTGCGGAGATCGGGCGGCCCGATCGCCCAAGCAGAATTTTTTATGAAGTTTTTTTGAGGGTTTTGAGAGGGAAATTTGAATGTAGGGACTGTTTAGGGATTTCCTTTTGATTTTTATGCATTAAATAGTTGGTTTTGCTAGGGTTTGGGCATCTTGAATTTGGCTGAAATTTGAGATCTCTTAGATTTTAGGTTTCCTTTGAGCTCTAGCTACGTCTAGAGATTTGGGAGAGATTGATCCTCCTCTCGAATAGAGGACCAAGTGTATCTTTCTATTTTCCGTTTCGCTTTCATCAAGTAATTATAAATTATCTACTATTTTTTTTTTGTGATTTTGTGTGGATTTTGTGGAGAAAGCTCGCTGTTTTTTGAAAATTGATAGAAAATACTTAAGATCTTCAAGTGTTTTCTATCATATTCTTCCCTCTCCTCTCTCTTGATGTGTGTCCAAGGAATCACAATTTCTCTCTCCTGGTAAAATACATAGGTGATTGAATTCTCTTTTTTGCTTTCTTTTTGGATTTTCTCTCTGAAATTCTCTTTCTAATCCACTCCTCATCTTTAAGGGTAAATTAAAGAAGGCTTTAAGGGTATTAACGAAGAGATGAAGCAATTAGAAAACACAAATTTGAGAAGAAGGAATATGCATTTCATTTCTTTGAGTTTGGTATTAAAGGACCAACATCAATTCAGTATTAGGGAAATCATATTCCATCCATTTGGTATTAAAGTAATCATTTTCTGTCAGTTTTGATATCAGAGCGTTCTTATTACGTCATGCACATTGCTTTGTGGAGAGGTGATTTGAGATTGTAACCCTTAGGCCACAGTGGAGGCAAACCTACTAAATGATTTAGACCGGCTTTCTAGAACAGACATTGATGACTAATTTGATTTAGCTGTCATATAGATAGTTTGTAGTGTTATTCAAGACTTGTGATCATTGATCAGAATTATGAGTGGAACACAGTTATTTGAGGGAGGAAGGAGACTGATGATTATTTCTATTCTCTGTGCTAAATTTTTATCATGATTATTTGCATACTTTGTGCTAAATTTTGATGAAAGTAATTGAAAATAATAATTATTTACTCATTTATTTGGTAATTTCACATCATGATACAAATTCAGCTGTGTTTGTTTTGAAATGGTTTATGTAGGCGTGATGATGTTTTAGTTGCTCAGATTTGTTTTTTTTTTGTCTTTGACTATATTTTTGTATAATTTTCTCTATTTTGGTGACATCTTGCATTGTTTTTCTTTGTTATGAATGTTCAATGGTGCTGTTGTTTTACACTGTTAGCTCTTGCTCGCTTTGGTTTTGGCCACAACAAGCACCTGAAGTCAATTGCTGCTGCATATTGGAAGCCACACAGCTCCGTGCTGAGTTCTTTGCCATCGCTTGCAAATATTAACAGTTCTGGTGGTGGCTGTACAAACACAAACCCATATATGCAGCAGGGAGGTTCACTTTCTTCACAAAATGTCCCTGTGCTGAGAGTTGGAAGTGACAGCATGTCTAGTCCTCGAGATGGAAGGATCTCAACAAGCAGTCCCATAGCTTCCACCGGGATTATGCATGGTTCTCCTGTGTCAGATGATTCATCTCAGCATTCAGATTCTGGCATTTTACTGAAAGAAAGTACGACTAATGGAATTGTTAATCATTTCAGATCAAGACCTCTAGATAGTGCAGTTTACTCCCAATGTGTTGTGGCTATGTCTGCTTTAGCAAAAGATCCATCCCCACGAGTTGCTTCTCTTGGAAGAAGAGCGCTTGCCATTATTGGCATTGAGCATGTGGTTTCAAAAGGAGCAAAATATAATGGCGGAGCTGTTCACCAAGGAGATTTATCAGGTCAATCTACATCTCCTACCTTTGGTTTGGCTCGCTCATCTTCCTGGTTTGACATGCATACTGGTAATTCATTTTGATACTTTTTAATGTTCACCCTGAATGTTCAGAACTTGTGAGAACTCATCCTGACGATTATCATATGTTATCCATGCAGGTCATTTACCGATGACATTTAGAACTCCCCCTGTTAGCCCTCCTAGGCAAAATTACCTTACTGGATTGAGGCGAGTATACTCTTTAGAATTTAGGCCACACCAACTGGGTTCTCAAGACACAGGGCTAGCTGATCCACTGTTAGGTTCTACAGGATCTTCTGGGACTTCTGAACGTAGTTTACTTCCTCAATCTTCTATTTATAACTGGAGTTGTGGACATTTTTCACGGCCTCTTCTTACTGCTTCTGATGACAATGCTGATGTCATGGCTAGACGAGAGCAAAGGGAGAAAATTGCACTGGATGGCATAGCTAAATGCCAGCATTCGTGTATGTTTTTTTTGCTAGTTGGATTTAATGTTTAATTTATTTTTTTTATACTTTTCATTTGACCAAGTTTCTTTTTGGGTTTTTGTGTTAATGCAGCTGTAACTAAACTTAACAATCAAATTGCTAGCTGGGATACCAGGTTTGAGACTGGCACAAAAGCCACTCTATTGTTGCCATTTTCTCCTATAGTTGTTGCTGCAGACGAGAATGAGAGGATTAGGTATTGAGTCTTTGAAACTTTAATTTCTAGTAGGATGAGATACTGATTTCTATGTTTTTTCATTTTCTTGTGAATTTCTTACTTTTCCTGCACATTTTGTCTGAGATATGTTTTTTCCTTTGCTTATAGGAAAAGATACTATCCTATTTTTAGTGGCTATGTTTTTCTCCTGTAAATTCAATAGTCATCTATTATATCAATATTTTTCTTTCTCAGTCTGTTGTTTTCATATGAAAACTAGTTTATTTTAGAGGCTCTGTTTGTGCCTAATGGATGCGGGAGTTGTGTTTCTTGGATTATATACTTGAAGGTGATGTCAATATTAAAAAGAAATAAGATTTAAAATTCTTCCTACGTATCAAGGATCATAAAAATTTTCTAAAGAGTTTCCAAGCCTATACCAAAAAGTGATGTGTTCATTGTGTTGGTTCCTGCATTAAGTTTACGAATAAATGATTAGTGACCATAAGGTTGCTAATGGGAAGTATATGGTTCCATTTATGATATGTGATGAATTTTATGTCTATACCCTGAAGAACTTTAAAAGAGTTAATACTAGAAGGGCAAATCTCCTACAGTTCCCTTAGGTATGGAAAGCCACTTTACAGTTGTTCGTATTTTGAAATCCTTCATTTAGGTCTCAACAATTTTCAGGCAATATTCAGCCAAGAACTTATTTAAAACAATATGATCCATGCTTGTCCCATTTCTTTTTTTCTTGTAGCCTCTTTTAGCACTTTCCTTAGCCGCCAGCAAATACTTCTTTTCCTTGTTTTTTTTTTTCCGGCAGTTTGAAGCAAATAAAGGCTAGGAGACAGGAAGGTTACTCGACTTTGTAAGCAAGAAAATTTGATACAAATGACATATTTGATGTTTTGTTCTTTTTTAACGGTTCTGTTAACAGAAGGATTAAAATGAAACATCTTTTATGTGATGCGCCTTTATATGTTGGGGATTGTTCTGTTATTTATCCATACAAGAATCATGTTAGTGGTGCTATGAACTTGTAACATCCATTTCTTTTGTAACAAAAGAGTTCCCTTACCGTTTAATGATAAGGTCAATGGTTTGAATGTCATGATCCGGCCTGAAAGCTCAAGTTATGTGAGAAATAGATGGTCGGATGATTATTATAGTTATTTAATAATAATAAGTACTTAATAGATTAAGCTCCAAAATATAACTGAAGAGATATGATAGGAAATACTTAGATCCAAGTATTTCCTATCGACTCGAGTGGGAAAAACAGCAATAGAGCTGCTGTTTTTTGCAGGAAAACAGCCCAAATCGCAGGAAAACAGTAGAAAAACTGTAGGAAATCTGAGAGAAAAAAACACCCAATGGATTTATATTCCACTAGTAGATGATCAAAACGAAAGCAAGATACAATGTTCTTCGATTCGAGAGGAAGAACAACTCTCCAACAATCTCCGGCAACGCTAAGAGCCCAAGCAAGAAAACCTAGATCTCAAATTACATTCAAATTCAAGATGATCTCTCTTTCCCCCCTAATCTCCTAATTATACAAATTAATCATAAAGGACCATAATGGACTTCCTAAAACAGCCCCTCATTCAAAATTCTCCCTCCCAAAATTAATTTCAGCAACCGTGGGGTCCACAGGGGGTTCCGCCCCTTTTTGTTGTTTCCGCCTGGAATAGCATCGGACCGGTCCAGAAGGGACCGGTCCGCTCGTAACAAGATACTAAAACAAATTTCTAATTTAAATATATAACAAATAGTTTTTACATATTTCATTTGATCAACTTCTTTTGTACACGAACTCTCCTCTTTCAGCAATTTATTCATAGGAGATTTACCTAACATTTCAATTTAAAATTTTGAGTTTTTTCATAATAAACTTAGTGGATAATTACAATTTATATTATAGAAATTAAACATGCATATAAGGAATCATCTTCATTTATTTAAACATTTTCTTTAATTTACATATGAATACAACAACAACAACAATAATATTAAGCCTTTGTCCCACTACGTGGGGTCGGCTACATGAATTCTTTTTCGTCATTGTGTTCGGTTAAAAGTCAAATTCTCATTTAAATCTAATAAAGAAAGATCATTTCTAGTATTTTCTAACCAAAGTCTTTTTAGGTCTACCTCTACCTTTCTTAACATAAGTCAAATCTAATACCTCAACTTTTCTAACTCGGTCATCAGAAGGCCTCCGTTTAATGTGACCAAACCATCTAAGGTGACTCTCTCTAATCTTATCTTCCACTGGAGCTACTCCAACCTTTTCACGTATATGCTCATTTTGTATCCTATCTCTAAGGGTCAAGCCACACATCCACCAAGAGATTGGATCCAGACCTTCTGGAGCTATACGAGAGCTTCCACAGTACTCACTTGACGGGGTCGAGTTTTCTCCCACCCGGGGAGAATGATGGAGACATTGACAAGAGGTTTTGACGCGTTTATCAGAGGCGACACAGGAGATCGATGGGCATTCTGGAGAGTCTTTACTTTTGATGCATTTTCTGTATTAGCATTTTATGTATTAATCATTTTATTTTAGTTTTTTCGTTTTTGCCCTTATGGGTAGTTGGTCGCTATTGTAGCCCGAGGGGCATTCTAGTCTTTTGTTTTATTTTTCATTTTGAGGCCTATATATATGGCCATTTTCTTATGTATGAGGATAATGAATATTTGAATAAAAATTTTATGTTTGTCTTCTTCTTGTGTGCACTAGAGAAGGGAGAGAGAGAGCTCAAGAAAAGCAATTGCAAGGCCCACCAGTCGTTGGAAGAGTCCGCGGCTCGTGATTAAGTTTATTTTATCTTATTTGTGTTTTCCCTCATCCTCCCACCCTTCTCCACCAACACCCTCTTCCCCTTGCAAATCCCACTGCCACCCAAGCCCACATCAACCCGGCGGCCACTCCTTCCCTTTGACTGCCGGCCACCTCCTCTTTTACCGATCGTTATGATGATTTCAATCCTCATAATGATTGCCAAATTTGGATTCAAGCATTCAAGAGGGAATTTGTAAGTTTTGAAATTCAAATTTCAAAATTCAAAAATTTTCCTTAGTTGCAAAATGTAAATAAGGAAAGTTCCTAATTTCGAATCTATTTGAAATTCCAATTTGGAGGAGTCTTTAATTCCCCGCCTCGTTGTCAATTCTTGATTGGAAAGAAAATAAATCCTCATAATCCCTCTTCCCCCTCTCTCCTTGCCGCCGGCCTCATGCATGGCCCCCTCCCATCAATTCTCCAATCAATGCATTAATGGCCCCTTAATTTGAAATCAGATTTCAAATTAATATCCCCCCATTTTCATTCAAATCCTGAAATTAATTTCAGGATGGGAAATAACTCCCCTCCCCTCTCTGTAGAACCCGCTGGCCCCCCTTCTTGATGGGCCCCACTAAATGCCCATTAATTCCCCTATATTCTATTTGAAATTTGAGATCAATTTCAAATTGATTCCCTCCAAACTTACTCAAAATCTGAAATTAATTTCAGATTTGGAGTAAATCTCTTCCTCCCCCATCTAACCTAAACCCTCTCACCCAAACCACCCGCCCCCTCTCTATTCACATTGGCCGCCCCCCTCCTTGCTCCCTCCCTTAGAAGTTTTGAAGCCAAAAGAAGAAGATGACGTGATGTAGAACGGGTAGGAGGGTTGAAGTCGTAAAGGTCTTGAAGAGTAAATCGTCCCAAAAATCTGCAACAATTCCTTTTAGAAAGTCTGAGATATCTCAGATTTTCCTCTCAGAAATCTGAGAGAAAATCTAGCTCTCGGTGTGGAGAAGAAAGAACTAGCAGGAGCAAATTTATGGGCGTAAAGTAGAAGAGAAACAAAGGTGGAGAGATTGTGTGAGAGGGAAAGGGAACAACAAAAATAGCTTCATGTTTTTTTATTTTTTCTGTCAAAACCTGGGAGAAAATATTCCAACTCAAAAACTCTTGCCTTGGGGAGCTTTCTCGGGCAAGAGGGAGAGAGGAAGATGACGTTGGGGAAGGAAATTCCTAAGTGCCTTTTTGAAGTTCTGAGAATTAATCTCAGGTTTTGGAGTTTAAACCTGAGAGAAATTTCAGGTTTCAATGGTGAGAGGCAAGTGAAATTGAGAAGAATTCAAGCCTTGAGTCAAGCTCAGGAGTGACGTGGTAGAGAGGGAGTTTAAGAGGGGGAATAAGGAGGGAGTGGGGAAATTTTGCAGCAGGTTGAAATTAGCGGGCTGTCCTACTAGTGCAGCAGTTAATGAGCTTTCCGGTAGGTGGAAAACCAAAGTCAGGTGCCAGAACTTCTGGCAGCAAGCTTGAGAAACAGAAATCTGAAGTTGGATGGGCTGTGAGGGAGGGTTTTGGAGGGATGAAGCTTGTCCAGATACATGGGAAGAAGACGAATAGCTGAAGGAATGATTTGGAAATGTTTCCAAGTGGGGAGGAGGAGGTTTAGGAAATAAATTTAAAGAAGATCAAAGGGAGAGCCGGCTGCTATGGATGGAGAGAATTAGATTTCAAATAAGTGGGACCCAATTACTTAAGTGAATTAATCCTTAAATCTGAAATTAAATTTCAGATTTAAAGCTACGATTAATTCCTTAATTAAAGGGAGGAAATTGAGGGGCATTGAACTCCTAATTCAAATTTGAATTTTGAATTGGAGAGTTAAAACCTTCCAAATGTGGATCAAACCCAATTAGGAAAAATTTCAAATTTGAATTTTGAAATCCAAAATTTGTCATGGGTTTATGATTTCAATTGAGCACTTTCCAAAAATAGGTGAGCTAAATTAGGAAAGAAATTTGAATTTCAAATTTTGAACAATTTGAATTTCAAATTAATTCCTAATATCATGCACTCCTAATTAGGAAATCCAAGGAGAGAGGGGAAAGGATGAGGCCGGCGGCTAGGGAGCCATGGCCGGCGGTTTGTGGTGGATCTTCAGGTAAAATAAATTAACCTAGGGGTAAAACAGGAAATAACATAAAATAGAAACTAAAATGCAGAAAATAATTCATAAATGACAACTTAAATCAGAGCCGTCGATTTACGACGCCTCCTGTGATAGATGCGCCAGATTTTTGTGCCGATGTCCGCATCACGACGTCCTCTCACCTCCTCTTCAATGTTGAATGGCTTATCTCGAGGTTGATCACAGGTTTGCTTACAACGAACGTGGGGAGATTGACATTATTCTCTTTCCTTTCTACGAACCCGATTGGGAATACGACGAGACGGCGGACGTCAATCACATTTTCTTTTGCTTGGCGCATACGATCGATCTTCAAAAGCCTAAGACGCCTTGGCTTCTCGTTGGGAGATATACACCTGCCCCGTCCGCGGCTACCTCTCCACCACCGCCGATCTTTCCGTTGATAAAGACCATTGGCGTTGCGACCGTCCTCGTGGCATCGTTGGGTGTGCTGAAGACCTTTCTCCGCTAAGCCATACTTTGAGTGTGAGTGAGCATGGTAACTCCTAGCGAACTTCCTAAATATTAACCGTGCGATTGTATTACAACATGTTTGTTTTTTCTGTGATAATTTCGGAGCTATCTTAACTTGCCTTAAACTTTTGAATTGTAACTGCTTACTACAATAAGATTGACGATTGAAAGTTCTCTAATCTAATCCTACGAAACCTACTTCTTAAGTTGCAAGCTTTGTAATCCTTTTAAATATTTCCGTGCAATTCTTGTTTGTATCACATCATTTGTATTCATGTATCTTTTCTCTTTGCACTTTTATTTACATATTATAATTCATTTTGTTCATTTTATTTTTTGTTGCATATGCATATTAATCTATATAAATACTTTTCACATATATATCTTTTTATGTCACATTATAAATTTAATTGCTTATTATTCCTCAATTTGGTGCATAATAAACACTTAAATCATAACAAGTATAAATGCCTTATACAATATTCAATAATTGCGATGAAACAAAAGTAAAATGAAATTGCTAGAAAACAAACGTAACTATCTACTTTAGTGTTTTCGTGTGATGAAATTCTTTCAAATTTTCTTCAATCCTTAATTAATCTTCTTTGAATGAAATCTAAGCATCCAGGGTACAAATTTATTAATCTTTGCAGATATTAGAAATTCATTAATCATTAAATTTATTAAATTCCATTTAAATTTTCATTGAATAACTTATTACCAAAATTCTCTTTTAAAATACTTGTATGTGAAATTTTTTGCTCAAGTTATAATGCTTGATTATCCCATAGTCCTATTACAACAAAAATCCATTTTAAATTAATATACAAAATTAACTTCAAGAAATCAAAGACCCTAAGTTGATGTTTTAATGTTACAAGTGTCACTGATTATAATAGTGGATGCGTCAAATGTGGCCAAAGGCAAAATTGGACACAACAAATGTTGTCTAAGTCGACTTAAAATGCATCACTTGATCATTTCTATAACATTAAATATTTCTATTTTATTGTATCAAAAAATTAATTATATCACCTACTTCTAATTTCTAGAAATAATTAAACAACAACAACAACATCAAGTCTTTATCCCACTACGTGGGGTCGGCTGTATGAATTCTTTTTCTCCATTCTGTTCAGTTAAGAGTCAAATTCTTGTTTAGATCCAATAAAGAAAGGTCATTTCTAATATTTTCTAGCCAAGTCTTTTTAGGTCTACATCTACGTTTCTTAACATAGGTTAAATCTAATACATCTACTCTCATAACATTGTCATTGAAAGGCCACCGTTTTATGTGACCAAACCATCTAAGGTGACTCTCTAATCTTATCTGCTATTGGAGCTACTCAAACCTTTTCACGTATATGTTCATTACGTATATGTCTCTAAGAGTAAAGCCACTCATCCACCTGATCATCCTCATCTTTGCAACACTTAACTTAATATTATGCTTCTCTTTTAATGACCAATATTCTGTGACATAAAGCATTGCAGGTTTAACCACCATCTTATAGAATTTTCTCTTAAATTTGAGTGGTACTTTTCTATTACACAACAAGCCCGATGCATTCCTCCACTTCATCCATCCAACTTGAATTCTACTAATAATATCCCCATCTATTTCACCACCATTCTAAATAATAAACCAAAGATATCTAAAACGTGTACTCTTATTAATGACTTGATCACTCAAAGTCACAAACCCCCACTATATCTATTACTACTAAAATTACACTCAATGTATTTGATTTTTTATCTACTGAAACGAAAACCTTTAGACTCTAAAGTTAACCTCCATAATTCAAGTTTACCTTCAAAGTTAATTAAATTAAAATATCTCAATTAAATTTTTCTTCCTCGTCAAATTGAGATTCCCACCAATTTGATTTCTTTCTACTGAACAATTATATTTTACTATTTAAATAAAAAAAAAAATAATGCATTTATTTCTTGTCTAAATTTAAGCAGAAAAGTCGAAAATTTAAACTGCTTACTCCTTCGCCGTCGTAAGAAATGGAGGCTCACTTTTTCTCCTCCCGACAAGTCATGATCTTTAGATAGCCTATCAAAAGACAAATTCTCCTATTCTTTTCGACACAAATTCTCTCTTTCTCACCTAAAATCTTCTCTTCTCTCGGTCCCTACTCCCATCCCGCTTTTTCTCTCTCGTTTGGATTAACTGGATGGAACGAAATGGAGTTATTCCTTGTGAGGAGTTGTGTATTTTTGTTTTCGAATGTGTTACTTTGTTTGGTTTGCTCTCCCGCACTCGCCCACACGCCCTTTGCTTCGTCCACTAGCCACCCAAGGTAGGCTGCTACTTGAGAAAGGGCCAGTTTGATTGAACCGGTCCAACACCTTTTTACATAATAAGAGTTTATATGGGTTGATTTTGTGTGGCAATTGTGAATTTGATGATGAATCATCATACATTTTCAATAATTGAAATATTTTTGAATGCATTCATGAATGAATGCATATATGGATGAAGGGAAGGATGGATGCATTTCTTGAAAGCTGATGGTTGACAACCAGTCTCTATGGATGTCACATAAATGAATTTAATTTGGTAAAAAATTATTTGTCGTTTGGTAGGAATGCTTTGTAATACTGAAATCATTAAACTAAAGGTTATTGTTAATGTAGTATTATGTTCAGGATAAAGGAAGGGTTGACCAAGAGTATGAATTGTCAAGTTAATGGTTCTTTTTTATTTTGGGGATGAGGCTTGCTGTGAAAGTAAGACAACCAAAGCATATATGTTTGCTTTTTGTTATGTATTTTGATGCTGGAGAAATATTTTGCTCAGACTTTGAAGGACAATTTCCAGCTAATTTTCTTTTAATGAATTATGAAATTACTGAAATCTTACAGTTGGAAAACGTTCTCTTGTTATATTATGGATTTTTGGTTTGCTGAATTAACGATTGTTGGGATCTGTCAGGAGATTTCCTTGCAATCTCTTTTAATTTTAGGGTATTCATTTTGTACTTTGTTTATGAATTAGACCTAAACATTCCTAAGAACAGCTCAGGGTCCAGGCTTGGCTTGAGAAAACCCACATAACCGTGCTTCTTCATGACTGTTGTTGAGAAACAGTCCTGCACGTCAAATTAAACTCTTTGTCAAGCGTCAGTTCTCATCCATGTAAGTTGATGGGGCTTGTCTGGTTGAAAACTTTGGACCGAGTAAGCAGGGCTAGGGCCAAGATTAAAAGTATGAAGCCTGATCATACCCAGCCTGATTGTTGAATGCCTCTCATTATATTGCCTTATGTTGTATGATTTACTCTTATCTGGATTCCTCACTCATTTGATATGCCGACTCTGTTTCACCATATTTTTTTATATTGCACCAAGTGATGTATGCATTTGTAAATATCTTGTCGTGTGCCCGCTTTTTTAATCCAATTATCCCAGAAATGTTTTTGATCATGCTGTGTTGGTTTTTGCTAACCGTTACTATGACCTTTTAGGGTGTGGAACTATGAAGAAGCAACACCATTAAACAGTTTCGACAACCATAATTCATCAGACAGAGGAGTTTCAAAGCTATGTCTTGTGAATGAACTTGATGATAGCCTGCTTCTGGTTGCTTCAAGTAAGTTTCATTTTTCCTACTATTCTTAATAACTGTTTGATTGGTAACCGTTGAGCATACAGCTTTGCTGTGTTTGGCTTTAAAATGATGTCAACTTGTATGCAGGTGAAGGTAATATTCGGATATGGAGAGATTACACTCTAAAAGGCAAACAGAAGCTTGTGACAGCATTTTCATCTATTCAAAGTCATAGATCAGGTGTTCGGGCTTCAAATGCTGTGGTTGATTGGCAGCAGCAATCTGGTTATTTGGTAGCGCTTCTCATATGTCCTGATTTTATTGACTATTTCTCACCCTTTGTTATTCTTCTTTTATTATCTTGTCTCTTTGATGCATACATTATCTTTTATCCTATATTCATTTACTCTCTTATCAGTATGCTTCTAGTGAGATATCCTCCATCTTGCTTTGGGATCTTGATAAGGAGCAAAATATTAGTTCCATTTCGTCTTCATCAGATAGCAGCATATCTGTACTGGTAAGGCCTTTACCAAACTCGTATATGGTAGTTACAGTCTGTGATGTAGCAGTATCTTTTGGTTTGTTTGTTTTTTTTTTGTCATTTGGGAACATAAATTAATTTGTATGATCCCTAGCAAGTTTCAGCAAGATCTTCAAGATTTTTAGGTTTGCATGAACTTCTCTCATCATCTAAGTGATCCAGATAACTGAGTGACAGCTTAAAATCTTCCTCCCTTCTCTATGGCAGCTACACTTCAATCTACCTTGTTGCTTCTCATTTATAGCAGACCATCACTTATCCTTGCAAACATGAACCCATTCAACCTTTCGTAATGTCTGCAGTCTACAGTTAAGCACCACTCAATGTAAATTGCACCTGATAATGCCAAACATTATAAATTTGCTGCTTCATGGTAATCCATAGATAAGCAGTAAGCAGTGATAGGTAAATCCTTTAGCCGAGTTGTCATTTCAATTTTCAAGAACTTTTTAATATTTTGAGCTTTTCTTGCCTTTTTTAAGGTAGACATTGGTTGCAGTTGTTGGTGCCTGGATGCTTCCATACCTTTTTTATCTTTCAATCTTCCCTCTATACAAGTTTTCTTCTCTCAGATCCTATCATTCATTTATGTTGGTTCATGCAAGTATGTTATTGTTGTCTAGAAAATGCACTTCAGTCATCATGAGGTAGGTTTAAACTTTAGTCATGTTGCTGTAGTGTGCTTCCAAATACCATAGTTGTTGATATCAACCCAAACCTCCCAATGACAAATAAAACCGTGTTCATATGATCGGTTTTTCTGTAAAGTTCCATCTCTAGAGTGCAGTGGGAGCTTCTGCTATACTGCAGGAATGGTATTAATAATGCACTGCAAATTAGAAATATGGTAGCGTGGTTGGTTTGTAGCTTCTTTTCTTGTGAGGATAAACTGATAAAGAATATGATGTCCCTTTAATTGTGAGTTCTGTTTTTTGGGGTATTTCTGGGCCATTTCACTCTTTTTTTTTATTCCTTTAAATCTTTTGGCGGATTCTCATTTATATATATATATATTTTACTTTGACAGTCTGCGTCCCAGGTTCATGGAGGTCAGGTTGCGGCAGGTTTTGTTGATGGTTCAGTTAGAATATTTGATGTTAGAACTCCCGACATGTAAGCTCAATATATCATATTTGAAGGATGTTTGAAGCCTAGTATTGTTTTTAATCATAGTCTTTTAATATTTTTAAAACTATATTCTCATGCTATGCTTTCCAGAATATGCATTATAATTTTATGTTTCTTTATACCAATTATGTGTTACTCGCAACTGCTTCTGTAGGCCTGTTTGTGCAACAAAACTGCATACTCAAAGAGTGGAGAAAGTTGTTGGGATTGGATTTCAACCGGGGCTTGATCCAACTAAGGTATTATTTATCCACCTAGCTGTTTTTTGTTTAATCTTTTTCTTTATCGTTTTCAACTTCGTAGGTTATTTTCGCTTCAGTACTGCATAACCTCATAGATCCTTTTATGAGTGCTGGTTGATCTGGATATTTTTTGGTGGTACGCCAAATTGTTAACAATAATTTATTCCGCAATATGTCGAACTTCTGGTTTGTGTTGAGTATAAAGTTGCAGTTGCTGCTATACTTTTGTAGTTGATAATGTTTTGACATGAAATATTTTGAGCCAAGAAATGGGAACTTTTCCTAGCGCAATACCTTGAGAAATAAGGCTAAATTATTTTTAGAATGTTTTAGCATTTTGGATTATTTTAGGATATTACTTCATATTTATTTTAAATTCAATGATAGAGGATCGTAGGGCTTATGTGGATTTAAACTTAAATTTAATTTGAATTTATCTTGTCTCCATATTTTATAAGTACTTGTTATTGGAATTATTTATTTCCTTCTGTCGTACCACTCTAACCAGACCACGAGTTCTGTAGTCAGGATTTCTCTATCCTCCCGATATTTCTTTCTTACAGGAAAGTTACAATCCTGATTGTCTACTCATTATCCACTCCACTTGCTAGTGGCAAACTTCCTGAAACTCTTTCACCTGGGTTTTTCTGCTAGTTGTCGCAGAATGCAATTGCCCAGAATGAAAAAGAACAAAATTAAGAGACTCATCAAAGGCTCATCGAGTTGAATTAAGTAGGTTAGCCGAACTGTTTTATTGAAGCCGTTCTTGGGAAAGAGTGTATTGAAACTCTGCTTTATGCGGCATAAGAAGTATTTAGGCAGATATTTCTTGTTTTAAAAGGAAAAGTAATGAGATGGAATGAAAAAAAACTTCGTGGAGAATACAGTGTTTAGGTTTGTTCACAAACTAGACTCAGTTATTTTCAGCTAGTATATTGTATTTTCATTTGTTTTATGTTGCAAGATCGCTTGAAATGTATTACATTTTGTCATCTTTTAGTATAACTCAATCATGCTTCTTAAAATCATACTTCTACTTGTTATGTACTTTATGCACTGTTGTTGGTTATTTTTGTTTTGAGTGACCAACATGATAAGCAGAATGCTTTATATATTGTACTAAACATTAGATGTAGAAATTCTTGAGTGATTAATTTTTTTGTTAGAGAGAAACTGTATTTCCTTTGCGATGTGGCATGGTTGCAGATTGTCAGTGCGTCTCAAGCTGGGGATATTCAGTTTTTCGACATTCGAAACCACTCTGAAGCATATCTCACAATTGATGCCCATAGGGGTTCTTTGACAGCTTTGGCTATTCACCACCATGCCCCAGTTATTGCCAGTGGATCTGCAAAGCAGATCGTTAAGGTCTTCAGCCTAGATGGAGATCAACTGAGTATCATCAGATATTATCCTACTCTCATGGGTCAAAGAATTGGTTCTGTAAGTTGCCTCAATTTCCACCCATACAGGGTCCTTCTAGCTGCTGGTGCGGCTGATGCTTGTGTATCCATCCATGCTGATGACAACTATCAAGCAAGATAAAATTCCAACCCCGATTTCTTCCTATTGGTGTGATTTGGTGAATGTTGACATTTCAATCTTACAAAGCGTGGTTGAATGCACATTGCACAGGAATTGAAACATCAAGCCGCAGCCACTCTACGGTTTATCATTTCTCAGATGCGCGTGCGTTTGAAATGTCAATCTTAACAATATTCATTAGCCTCCGCTACAGAAAGTAGCATGTCGTCCAAGTGTTTCTGGCATCCAACATTACATTCGGAGGCTCTCAAAAAATAAAGATATCTAGGTAATAGCTTGTACATAATCTTTTGCTGTATTTTCTAATTTCTTTTTTCCTCTTTGTTCAATTTGTAAGTGTTATTCTCTTATTATAAACTATGATGGCCTCTATGGGAGTTTGCACTTGATTCAGATGTTCAAAATAATATTTTTTTCCTGAACCAATGTATGATTATTAATTATAGTAAAAAAATCACCCAGAAGATCTGAAATTGGAGTTCCTTCGATTGCTAGATCATTTGCTGGATATTGACTTTTAATTTTTAATGTTACTTTCTACATGCGGCTGAATATTTTATTTTTAATGTTACTTTCCTAGTGCGGCAGAATAGCCGGGTTCTTTGTCATCAAAGAGATATTCTTTCCAAAGATTCTCTCAAGACAAACCTTGACACATGGAGGAACTCAGGTGCAGGTTCGCTGGAGCAACCGTGTGAAACTCCCTCTCACACTCCCTTGAAACCCACAAGGATATTCTCCCTTTCTCACAAACTCCACCTTTTCTCTCACAAGCTCTAGGCTCTCTTTTCAAGCTTTCTTCAGAAGAAACAACTTAGTGAATGAAAAAAAAAACTTAACAAAGTTTTATGAGAAACTTAAATAGAAGGTTTCAAGAAACCCTAAAAACTCAATTCTCTCGTCTCTGATCTTATAGTACGATCCCAGATCCTATGGTACGATTAGTTCAAAATATTCATGTTAGTACTGTACAAATTGTAAAGCGATGTATGCTCAATTCAACTGATTGTGCGGATCGTCTCGTACGATTAACAACGATAAATTATCGTCCCATGTAGAGATCTAGTCGTACAGTACGATTAGCTTCAACCGTCCAATATGATTTGATTAGCCGAATTAACCACAATTATTTCCCTGATTATAGGATTAATTTAGACAAGATTTGATTATATCGTACAACACGATACCTATCGCACGGTACGATTAATATATAATTGTTTGTCAAAATATTGCCTAAATTATGATTGGCGGCTAAGATCTTGATTTCAATAGATCGTTCAGTATGATCAAGATCATCCAGTACAATTAGTTCAAACAGCTTTAATTATACAATTAGTTGTAATAATTTTCTGAATAGCTTATTGTACAGTACGACATGGATCATACAGTACGATTAGCTTAAATAACTACACTTTTAATTTTCTCAATATCTCACTCCCATGAGTGTGTGTGTGCACAGTCACCATACTAGTATACACCCTTACAAGATTTGACTCAAGAAATAAAAAAACAAATAAATGAAATTACATACTTTTAGCATATCCTATTCTACCCAATCTTGTGTCCAGAATCTTCATTGAATGGTGCATGATTTGCCCGAAATGTTAGTATACACAAAAACAAATATACACTACAAATACTATGAGATATAAAGATGCAATCATTAATGTTTGTTATCATCAAAATCATGAACTCGTGAGCACGTTTTGCAACACTTTCAATGCTGCCACGAGCTATAATCATACCCCCTTTCATCACAATTCACGTATCTCATGTGAATGATGTCACATGGCCTGAGTTTGCAAGTTGACTAATAGAAACTAAACTTCTCTTTAAACAAGGAACATGCCTAACATTATTAAGTCCCCAAATTGACCCATCCGACATTCTGATAATCTCCCTGTCCAACAATATTGTAGGATTTGTTATCCCCGAGATACACCATACTCAAATCTCCTTGAATATAGTTCTTGAATGTCTCTTTGTTAGGATTTGCATGAAAAGCAGCACCTGAATTTATCACTCAAGGTTTAGAATTTTTCAGAGATAAAATCAAAGAATATGACTGACATTCTTCTACATATGCATTTGCAGAATGATTTTTTTTTTCTTGACTTCCATCACTGCCCTTCTTTGGAACTGCACAGTCCTTTTTCAAGTGGTAATGTTGAGGGAGGTAGAGGGGATGCCACTTTTATAGCCACTTCCAAGGAGAGGAAAGGGTGGAGTGGGACTTTTAGTGGAGCTATAGAATTTGGAAGAAGAAAAAAGATTGGGAGAAGATACAAGCATCAGACACGATTCTACCACCCCTACAACAGTATCGAGGGGTGTTCCAACAAGTTCAAGGGTTGAATCATTCGTGGAAACGCGAGCATGTTATCATCTTGAAGGAAGGAGTCCCATCTATCAGTGTTCGTCTATACCATCATCCCCAAATCCAGAGCGAAGAGATTGAGAGATTAATCAAGGAGATGCTCGAGGCAGGGATCGTTTAACCTAGTGTCAGTCCATTTTTCAGTCAGGTGGTATTAGTCAAGTGCTTCAGCTGCAGTTTCGTTCGTTCCAGCTTGAGGACAAGATGGCACTTTGGGAGGGGAGTATTGTTAGACCGGTGAACTGGGCCAGTTTAGCCGGTCCATATGGGACCGGCTCAGGCAGAATAGAGGCACAGAGTTCCACCTATCCTTTATGCGCGACCGAGCCCAAGAATGCTATTTAGGAAGGATTTTTGAGGGAGTTAGGAGGGAAATTCGAATGTAGGGACTATTTAGAGATTTCTTTTTGGATTGTATGCATTAAATAGTTTGTTTTCCTAGGGCTAGGGCATCTTGAAGTTAGCTGAAATTTGAGATCTCTTAGGTTTAGGTTTTTGGGCGCTAGCGGCGTCTAGAGATTTGAAAGAGATTGATCCTCCTTTCGAATTGAGGATCAATTTTATCTTGCTATTTTATTCTGTTAGTTTGTGTTCTTGCAATAAACTTTTTGTTTTTCTTTAATTTTCCGTTGGATTTGTGGAAATTTCTCGCTGCTTTCATCAAGATAGTTAGGTTTTACTTGGGAATTCCAAGTATTTTCTAACACACTCCTAGATAGTATCGGGGTCTTGGTATAGCTTTAATTCAAGATATTGTTTTTGGTTATAATTGTGCTTTGATTTGGAGATGTATCTCTTCTGCTTCTCTTTTTATTTCTTATTGCAAAACAAAATATCTTTGTTTATGAAATGGTAGTATTGTGAGAGGCTCAAATTGATGAAATTCTATTAGTACACAGCTGCTCTTATGAAAGATGCTTTGAATTTTTTTTGTTCAGCCAAACTCTAATTTATCCTTTTACTGTGACCCTTGGATTAATGGCAAATCCATTGCCAATTTAGTGGAAGGTTCTATTTTCACGACTCATTTTGATGGCAACTTGGTGACTGACTTTATTTATAAGGGGACATGGTTTCAATCCCTATTGTTAATATTGTTTCTGGTTGTCTGAATTGGAAGGGTTCTGTTAATTCCCGCATCAAGAATTTTATCAATTTCTTACCTTCTACTGCTGTTTCTCATATTTGGGTAAATATGCTATGTCATAAAAGGCAATCTCTTCGTTTTTCTGTTTATGACCCTTGAATTGAAATCTACTGATAATTTGATTAGGAGAAACATTCAGGTGAATCTTAAATGTGTTTTTTGCTTTTGTTGTAATGAAAGAGCGAGTCATCTTTACTTTGAATGCGATTTTACTTTCCAACTGATTTGCAATATCCTCCCCTGCTGTCTTTTTTTTTTTCTGAGGCCAAACCTAGAGCAAATGCTTAATTTTGTGGTTGATCGTGCGAACATTCCAGTTTGGCATAAAAACTGGCCTCTATTTGGGCCTTAGTTTATTATATCTGGAAAGAAAGGAATGAGGGAAAGTTTGAAAAGATTTAGGCTTAGTTTGGAATAGCTTTCTTATTGCTTCTTATACCAGCTTTGTAGTATAGAAATTAGAATTTTTATGCTAAAAAACTGCATTAAAAAGCAGTAAGAAAGCCATCCCAAGGCTTCCTTTGGGCAGCTTTCTTTCTGCTTCTTAAAACGGCTTTCTAGTAAAAAAAAAATTATTTTTGTACTGGAAAGCCACTTTAAGAAGCAATACGAAAGCAGTCCCAAATGAAGCCTTAGTGTAGCCTTGCTAGTATTTGGGTCAATATCTTAAAGGCAATTCATCTTAAACTTTTCTGATGGAAATATTGGCAAAACTTTCAATTATTTGTCATTGCATTGAATTGGGTGCTCTTCTCTGGCCTGGCAGCATATATATGCTTCTATTTTCTGGACAGTGATGACCGTTTTGTGTCACTTGGATACCCTTCCTGGATGGATGAAATATTTTGTGCGGATATCGAATCTCGTTCAGAGTTGAATGAAAATGCGTCACATCACCCTCCACTTGATACCGCAGCTCGGTACTGAGCTCGGCATTGAACTCGATACTGCTCGGTATTGGATGATGTGGTTGCACCTGATTCGCTTCTGGACGATAAGTTATATCAGATGTCTACACAGAATAATCTCTCCCTAGGTGGTTTTGTAATCTCCTATGACAACCGGTAGTGGTGTTGATAAATAAATTTTTTATTCTCTAGGTATTTTTTGCTGCCGTCGGAGTTCAGCTTTGGTCTTAATTGTTTCTTCTTCTTTGTTTTCCTTGCTGTCCTATTTTTGTTTGTGATTTAGGCTTATGCCATTGCAAGTTTTTCCGTTTGCAGCTCTATAAAAAATGAGTTATTTTTCAGATTTATACTCCTGTAATCTATTTTCATCAATGAAAATGGGCTAATTCCTCAATTATTCTAAAAATATATATCTAAATTTATTTTTCTATATTTTATATTTTAATAAATATTATAAATAATATATATATTTTTTGACATTTTCTATAGGGGTGTCAAAATATGACCTCACCGGAAACCCGACCTGACCCGGAAAATTTCGGTTTCGGGTCAACCTGTTTATCATACGGGTCGGATTTGGGTTCAAGTTTTTGACTCTAGTAAAATCGGGTCGGGTTCGGGTTGACCTGGCAACTCGAATTCAACCCGATTTGACCCGGAAAAATGGTTGCTGGCTTGTTGCCGTGCCGCATCTAGTGCATCAGCTCGTGAGCATGTCGCGGTGACCTAGTCTGGACTGGACGAGACGTCGAGTCTAATGCATTACTCGAGATATCGGGTCACGCGCCATACAGCAGGAGCAGGTCGTCCCTTTAGTGCAAACCTGCAAGCCGCACAGGTGTACCTCGATCGTATGTCGGTCCAAACCTTGCTTCATCGCCTAATTTGTTGGCACCGCAGCACCCGACCACCTGTAGTCCCGCAGCCCACTGGCCGCATTCGCCTGCTGAGCCGACCTCGCTTGGCGAGCTGGGCCGCTCCCGCTAGCCTCGCCTATAGTGAAGCCTTAAAAGCCAAACGGGTAGGTTTTGCGGGTCGGGTCGGGTCAACCCGGTAACCCGCACGGGTTGGGTCCGGGTTGAACATCCTAACCCGTTTAACTATACGGGTTGGGTTTGGATCAACCCGTTAATGTTCGGGTCAACTTGGGTTGGATCCGAACTCGACCCGTTGACCCGAATTGACACCCTTACATTCTCACATACAATTAATTAAATTATCCAATACAGCAATTAATTTCCCAAGCAATTTTCTTATTCAAGCCCAGCGAGTTATTAATCAAGTTGTTGCATGAAAAAAATACTAATAAACAGGTTATTAAACCTTTATTTTATGCTATCCAGTCAAACCTTTAGTAATTCAAATATCAAATAAACTGAATTTTATTGACGCTGGATTGGCCATCCCAAGGGGAAAAAAATCCTGGTCATTACAAAAAAAAAAAAAAGATGAGCTATTAATATATACTATAAAATTCAGAACTTTTGATTGCCATAAAAAAGTATCATTAATATTATTTTATTTTATGTTATGATAGTATTATTTATTTTAGGTCGTTTTATATAACAAATTAGATTTTAGATATTTAGGGTATTTATGTAAATTCCCCTTTTCTTTTCCATTGAAGGAAGCTGAGGCCAGTCCGGCAGTCCCCACTCCCCAGCCTTTAACATGATCCTCCGCCGCCGGCCATTCCCCATCTCCGCCATGCTCACCGTAATCTTCGCCGCCACTAACAGAACCGCTCTCTCCAACTGGTCCTTCGTCGCACTATATCTTTCTTCCATCACTGATGCCCCCCATAACTCCCCCCGCTGGCCCTCCGGCTTCGCACTCCGCACGGCCCTCGCCGGCCTAGCCTTTCTGCTTCTGCGGAGAGCTAACCAATAAGCCGAATTTAACAAATGAAATAAGAGAGGTAAAGCTTCTTTTCAAAGTCATCACGATTATTTCCAGCGAGATTCCCCTACATTTCAATCCAATCCAGCGTGTCAGTTCTCCGCACAATTTCTTAGCTTATAATTTTTTTTTCTAATGAGATTACAAAAAGATTGAGAGATAGAGTACTATCGGCAAATAGCCGAATTTAACAAATGAAATAAGAGAGGTAAAGCTTCTTTTCAAAGTCATCACGATTATTTCCAGCGAGATTCCCCTACATTTCAATCCAATCCAGCGTGTCAGTTCTCCGCACAATTTCTTAGCTTATAATTTTTTTTTCTAATGAGATTACAAAAAGATTGAGAGATAGAGTACTATCGGCATATAAAAGATTACAAACTTTTATTATTAGAAATATTACAGCATAATTGTTTTAAATTGGGGTATATCTAAAATATTGATGAATATTATAAAATTCTAAGTAAATGAGTATTATGATTATTGTTATTCTTATTTTGAATATGATTATTAAAATAATAGATTTGGTTGTTTTTATTTTGAATCTGTTAGTTAAAAAAAAAATCTCAAGTCTTTAAGTGATTACTTAATCAGTTTTCACATTCAAATTTTGGGTAATGCCTTTCCAACATTTTAGAAATCATCGTTCAGCATATGGGGTTTGTGTGCTTCTTCAACATTTTATTTAAATTGTGTAGCTTATAATAATATATGTGTTACGAAGAAGAAATATCTTATGCAAATTCAAGCTTCGTTTGAGACGACTTTCTTTTATGCTACTTAAAACAGCTTTTTAGTATAGTGATTAAAATTTTTATACTAAAAAACTGTTTTAAATAGCAGAAAGAAAGTCGTCTCAAAGGAATCCTCAATCACAGACCCTTCTCATGTATTTATCTCCAAGCAGTTCTACCATGTAAGGAGAAGATAGATATCTGCAACCAACATTACTCGTCTCATTTGATGTTTGTTTTACATAACGAAATAATATACAACAAAATGAATGAAGGGAAAAAAAAAACAAACACAAAAGAAAATTCAAAATGCAAGCTAAATTATGAATCAAAAGAAAGAAGCCTATACACGTGTAATATTCACACCTGCTGTAAGATGATACTATTACTATCCTTTATCATGAAATGTCCGCACTGCAGATGCATTTCTTGACTTCGCAATTCTCTCCAGATTTCTCATCTATATTCGTTGGATCTAAAGGAGCTAAACTTCTGTGATGCTCAATACTGGTTATACGTTGTTGATAGAAAAGGATTATAATTTCCTTCAGTAGCAATCCATGATGGAGGAAAATGATTAGATGAGTACTGTTCTACTTTCTGATGAAAAAATGGTGATATCTCTGGCGATTGTGCAGCAGCAGGTCGAGCCCATGGTGCGACATAACTATTGTATGCAGTGTAGCCTTCATTTGACATGAGAGGGTGGGGATGGTTAAGGTGCTTTTCCCAGCCGAGAGAATCCGAGAAAGGATTTTGACTCTGGTTCAATGGAGGCGTTTGATGAGATTGGTTTGGCGACAAAGTGAGACTGAGGAGGTCAATCATGTCTTGTTCTTTCTTTGAAGTACTAACTGGGGTTGGTGAATCAACCAGAACTAGTGCATTGTTTGCTACAGATGTAATGTTTTCTGAAGAATTCTTAGCTGATAAATCTTGAAAGACGGTTGATTTGGAGATAGAACTCCTGCAGAAACGGAAGCTTTGTCATTTTGGTTTATTGAAGGAATCTTTCAAGTGAATATGAATTGTGCGAGAGTTGGCCAACAAACCTGTTAGCTAAAGCAGAAAAACCATCTTCTTCTTCCTTTTCGTCATTGAATTGATAACTCATTGCCGGAGCAGGAGAAGGAAGACTTACAATTGGTAGAGGATGAGCTTTTTCTGGTGGTAAAGATGATCTGGAAACTAGAAAATCATGTTTTGAAAGTAGATTTTGTAAACTGTCATTCAGTCTAAGTGCTTCAACCAAGAGTCTATCATTCCTGCCAAGTTAACAAATGAACAAACATTAATTACATTTAAGAAAGGAAAACTTCATCTTGTTATTATATTAAAGGGCATAATTCAAATATCTTCGATCTATCTAGATCAAATGGTGAAATTATTCAGAAAATCTGGCTTATAATTTGTTGAAGCTCTATTTGTCAGATAAATAATACTATTTTTAAAAGACACTTACCCGGTTGAATTAATCAGTTGCACAAGCTTCTTCTGATTGATCTCACACTGTTTGGCAAGATCTGCGATAACTTCATCCTTGATAGCCTGAGAAGCAATATTATATGTTTTGTTTATGTTACCTTAATTCTGTTTAATATTAGGTTCGCAAATCGCACAATCATTACATAATCCATGGAGAAATTCTGTACCTTGTGATCATTTGGGTTCACAGCCTCCAGCATATTGTCGAATAACTCCATAGCACGTCGGATATTGTATAAGTCTGATAAACTAAAGAAACAAAGTACGTATCAGATACCAAACCGAAAAGAGTAATAGAAAACAAAGAAAAATTTGAGGAAACCTGAAATGACCCGTTTCAGATATAACTTGATGAAGTCTTCCAATAGCATCGGTGGGAATTTTGTAGCTTATTTGAGGTTGATTAGTTATTGGACCAGTAAGGGTAAGAATTAGATCATTGTTTTTTGGGGTTTCTGGGAACTGGACTCCAGATCTCTGCAAAGAGCATGTACAATTGTTAGAAAAGAAGAATTTGCAATCACTCCTAATACTTCATTAGTCATTAGTCAACAATTAACTTTTGGCTTGTAATGTTTTGAACGTTGATAAGAAATTATTGTAGAAAACAATTAACTTTTGACTGAAATTGAATTTCAATAACAATATTGAGTTTTAATTACAATATTGTTATTGAATTTTAGCTTTGAGTCTTCCCTAAATAATTCGCTCTCAAATTTGAATTCAAATTAGATCTCTTTCCCTAATTAATTTTCTTTCAATTGTAATTAAAACTCTCTTAAACAATTTCCCTTTGATTCCTCCTTACATAATGAATATTAACTCCTTTGGGCTCCCTAAATAATTCACTCCGAATTCCCTCTCAAATTAGATTTCCTTGCATGATTAATTCCCTCACAATTATAATTAAATTTTCCCAAACAATTTCTTTATTCTTCTTGCCTGCCTCCCACCTTAGTGGGGCCCACCGGCTTAGTCACTGGTCCATCAATACTGCCCTCCCGAAGTATTATATTATTCTCAAGGTGAAATGAAGGAAACTATTGCTAAAGCACTTATAAACTAATAGCAATCGACTAAAAAATGAACTGACACTAGGTTGAACGATCTCTGCCTCAAGCATCTCGTTAAGTATCTCATTGATCAATCTCTCAATCTCTTCATTATGTATTTGGAAATAACGGTACATGTGAACAATGATAACTGAGACTCCCTCCTTCAAGATGATAACATGCTTGCATTCCAGCAGAGGAGGCTAGGCAACCCCTAAACTGGCTGAAACACCTCTTGATATTGCTATAAGGGTGATGGATTTATGTATGGTGCTTCTATCTTCTCCCCACCTTTTTCTCCTTCCAAACTCTACAGCTCCACAAAAAATTCCACTCATTCACCCTTTTCCCTCCTTAGAAGTGGCTCAAAAGGTGGCATCTACTCTTCTTTCCCCAACATTTCCACTTCCTGATCTTCCCTTCCCCTTATTGGATTAGGGTTTCCTCCACTCTCTTAGCTGTCGGCGGCTCCCCCCACCTTCGATGTCTCCGTTTTGGTTTGGACCTCGAGCATCTTCCTCATCATCTCCTCTATGATGGCAAGTTCTCGTCGATCTTCTCATGAACGGCCGAAATTTGACTTTGAAAATATGAAATTTTAGATTTCTATTGTTTAATCACTACTTCCAACACTTCTACATTTCTTTCTGTCATAGGTACCGGATCTATGCTATGATACCAATTTCATAAAAAGTTCCTATAGAAAACAATTAATCGTTGGCTAAAATTGAATTTCAGCAAAGTCAACCAGCAAATAACAAGAGAAAATATAGAGAATAATGCACAAGAAACATATTTTTTCTTTACATCTAAGTTTACTTCCTTTTTTTTATGGATGAACCTTTATTAATGTTATTCCTTTTTTGGAAACATGCCATAATACATAAAAAAAATTTCCAGCTCTAATAAAAAAAAAAGATAAGTTGAAGCGTTTCTTTTGTAATGACATACCTTAAGTTCGGCATATGTGTTGTAGAATTGTGGATATCTTCCATTCGACCCACGAAATTTTTCTTGCCAAGATTCCAGTAGTTCCAATATTTTCTCTCTTACTTCCTTATTTTTCTGTTAAGTACTAATTGGTTAAACAAACATTTATGAACGCTAAAGATGATTGAAGTTAATAAGTAAGCAGGTATAAGCGACCACAAGGGATCTAATAGAGAGCGAATAACTTGCAAATGCATGTGATAATCGAAATTTGTATACGCCAGTAAAGTTTAAATAATTAAACATTACAATTACACAAATTAAAAGGCTATGGATAATCTGAGAAACATCAGATTAAACATGCAAAGTTTTTCCGGGCATATACTGAAGTAGAGGTGTAAGTGGGCCAAGCCGGCTCGAGAGTCGAGCTAAAGCTTTATAAACAAGCTCGAGCTGGAGCTTAGCAATAGCTAAACAAGCTTAGCTCAATCGATAGATGCATTTATAATGTTACCAAATATTTGTTTCAAGAGAAAACAGCTGGTGTTCAAAATAGTTATAACTATTAGACTTAGATTTTGTTTGTGATGACTTTCTTATTGCTTTTTAAAGTAGTTTTTTAGTATAGAAATTTTAATTTTTTAACAAAAAAGCGATTTTAAGAAGCAATAAAAAAGTCGTCCCAAACGAAGCCTTAGTTGCAAAAGAAATCCTAACAGAAACACAATATAAAATTTGAGAAATGAAAACTTACTGATTTTCTAGCAATCTTAACCATCTCTGGCAAGATTCCACGCTCAACAACTTGAAAATGCACAAAATCATCACAATTCATTATCATTGTTTCCAAAAGCTGCCATGGTTGGCACAATTAGTTAGTGCAGAAAATTGGAGAAACATGCTTACCGATAGATCTTCATAAATTTGTTACATACCGTCAAAGCAAGGAACTGAACCTTTGAGTTCCTATTTTGTAGCCTCGTCCTCAGAGCTTTAACAAAGGCTTTTGCCTTCCTGGCATTCCAAATATTTTGTGAGAGAGAGTCTCATGACTTGAATGAAAAAAAGGAATGGTTACGTTAGGTAGTCGACAACTAGCGTAATATTTATCAAATAATCACGATATGACATGAATCTTTTAATATGTTACTATTGTTATACATATTCTCATTGAGCTGGACAGGCAGATTTTTGTGAGAACCAAATAATTTCATTGATAAGTATTTGCAAAAACGCAGCAAAAGGGTAGCTAAAACTCAAGTAAAAGAGCAGCTAAAACGCAACAAGAAAAAAAAATGATATCAAATTCTCTACTCAACTATTTTAGCTTGCAAACAGAATTTATAACAGATAAGAAATTTTCTCATGATGATGGTGATAAAAAAGAAATGTTCTAATTAAGTTTTAAAAGATTTATAAACTTCAATAATTTATGAATTGTCTCTAAGTATATTTGATGTTATATAAGGAACCGTACGAATAAACTAAAGCTTATTGCCACTTGCTAACAAAAGCTTTTAATTTTTTATTTTTTATGCCGAAGGATAAAATAAAAAAAACTACAGGATTTTCCAAGTCACAACCAAAATCATTCGATTTATGAGTTCTTTAGGACCAATCAGTAAAAAATTAAAAAAGAAACTGCCATAGATCATCCAAGAACCTACTGAAAAGCAGCATATACCCTTCTGATGCATCTCCATGAGTTGCCGTGATTTTCTTTTATCACGAGTCATCATAAAAGTTTCAAAAGTTCTTGATTTTTCCCCCAAATCTTCCAATCTTTTTCACTACCCAAAGCATAAGAGATAACCTTTCCTTGTAAATTTGTTCGAATTTCTAATAAATTCTAAAAACGGATAGCTAAAATATCCCACATACTAAATCAGTATACACGCTCAGCAACAAGAGGAAGTAGACCATTAAACAATATATGAACATAACGCTGATGACTAATAATTAAGCACTTCCAAGGAAAAAATCTCAAAAGAGAAGAAACATGAGACTTTTTTCTTTCTTTCTTCTTTCTCTTTACCACAAAAAACAAAAACCATAATAGGGAAATCGACTGCCACATGCAAACAATAAAGGAAAATTCCCAAGCCATCAAAATCAGAACTCTTTGTACTGAAAAGCTGATTAAGCAATCGAAAATTCAGATTCCAAAGAAAATAAAAAAAAAAATTTCCAATTTCTAACCAAGAACAAATACGCACCAGGGATCTGAATTAATGGAATTGCAGATGTCCATGTTCATCATCCAATCCGGACTTAACAGGAGTCGGCTAGTCGCCTTCTCCACTCGCCCTATCGCCGACGACGGCGTCGAAAAGATTGACTGCAACGAAAGCACCATCTCTTCTCCTCCCAATTTCTAAATAAAGAAGTATCACAAGAGAAGGAAAAAGAAGAAGAAGAAGAAGAATTTCGAGAGAGTATTCCACTAAGCCTCGGCTCTTTCCACCAAGTTTGAAGTTTCGAGATAAAGTTGATGTTTTTATCGCAATGGTTTCTGGCCTTGGAAGCCCTTCTTGACGGCCATGGTCGCCTCGCTGTCTCAGGAAATTACAGTCAATTATATTTTATTAAAAAATATTATTGATCCCACCGTGTGAATTATTATCGAGTAATAAACAGGGTTTCCATAAGTATTTTCTTTTCTTTTAAAAAAGAAATACTTATGGAAACCGTGTTTATTAGTATAACTCAGAAAGTATAGAATTTAGTTAGAAACTTCCCGCAAAATTTGGGTAATTTGCTTCGGAAAAGACTTCAGATAGAAGCATCATTTTTTTAAAATAATTTTGGTGAAGCGGGTGATCGTAGACCGTTGGATTTGGCCAGCCAATCCCGTTCGCAGGCTTGGTTTCAATTTGAAATGAACCTTTTAACGGTCTTCTGTTTTTCTATGTACGCTGCCGGATGTACTATATATATTGTTAAGTGATTTGACATTTTATCGGTTCTGTTGGCACGTTTGTGGAGAATTGTAAAATTATATTGTAAATTATTGTTCATCATGATCATTATTTTTTAAAATATTAAATTGGTTATTTTTTGGTCTTGACTGAGAAAGGAGTTTATTTTATGTATAATATTATTTTTATTATATTTTTTCCACCCAAATTCAAATCATAATATTAAAGTTATATATATATATATATATCCATCAAAATTGAAGGTAAATGCAGTTGAATGAATAATAAAATTTTTGTCATTTCTCTTATAAATAATCAATATTGAGCATGTGATGTTGTGTGAATAAAATCAATGAGACCTAAAAACGAGAAAAAATAATATAGCCGTCTTGAATAAACTTAGTACAATATGCATTTTATTTATCAAAATATTTTTCTAGAATAAATAGAATGCTCACTTATCTTAGAGCAAGAATTAACTTCATAATTTCAGAATTGAGATTAATAAATAGATATTAACTAAATTATCATGTTTAATAAAGCTGAAATTTTAATTTAAAATGATAGTTTTAAAATAACAACGCATGAATCTTTCATATGCCTATATTGATAAAATACTCATTTATTTGGTTCATTTGATTATGAGGCGGGTTTTAAAATTTCATTTCTATAATAAAAAAATTCATATAGAATGCTAATGTTCTCCCAATATCATCTAGAACAAATTAGTTAGGTCTCATTGATCACTTAAAATTAATTTAAAGCAAATCAATCAAATAAAAATGATCAATTTACCACAAAATAAAAATTCTCAAAAGATAAGACGATTTTGTTAGTGAATTCAAGTTTTCAAAGCTATTTTATGCATTTCTTTAATAATTTGCAAAACTCCTAATTTATACATGCATTAATTGAAGTCATTAAAGCTATTCACCCAAGTGTCAAAGCTAGCTAAAAGTATAGTCAATTAGTCATCAATCACTCATTTGAAAGGAAAAGATCAATACAAGAAGAGCAACAAAATTTTGCCACTCGTTTGCTTTCAAATTATTTGTTCAAATCATTGAAACTCCTCATTATATATTAATCTCAAATTGCTCATTGCTGTTATGAAAATGATATTATCTACAATATCTATTGGGCCCACACCTCATTCAATTCACGATAATAGCATTTTGATTTGTAAAGATTGCAAGAGGCTTCTTAACACCACGTGTCTTCACAAAATAATTGAGCAAGCACTTGAAATTAATATTTTTGTTATCTTATCACGAAGCAATACGACTCCAAAAAAAATTATCCATTTTTTTTCTTATGATTTTTGAAACCAATAATGAAGAAATATTAAAATAAGAAGACTATTGTGTGAAGCTCAGTGAATGCTTTGTTTAATAGATATTTCAATGAGATAGTTTGGTTTATGATTTTTTAGACAAGGTTAGTGTCAATAGCTGGAAAAATTATTTTGTGCAAAGACGGGATGGCAAGAACCATTCAGATTTGTTGCGCTTTAGCTGCTACTTTGCAAATACTCAATAAAAAGGCAGCAAATATGCATTCATAATTGCATATTTGCTATCTTTTGTTGATTATTTGCAAAAACGCAGTAAAAATAATAACTAAAATGCAACAAATATTCTACTAATTGAATATTTGCTGTCATTTTACTGTGGTTTTGCAAATACTCAGTAAAATGACAACAAAAGTGCATTCATAATTGCATATTTATTGCCCCTTTATTAAATATTTGCAAAAGCGCAACAAAAGGGAAGCAAATCCGGATGATTCTCGTTGTCCGGTCTCAGCGCAGAATAATTTTTCCAATAGTTAAAACATCTTATCAAAAAAATAAAAAAATTAAAATGGTTGAAAATAAAAAAATAAAAAAGAAGACATATGTAGAGCAAATACTAGCACTTGAAATATTATTTTAAACTAATACAAGAAAATTAAATTGGAATATAGTAATTTTTATATGATCTCTATTATAATTTGAGTACCAACCAAAAAAAAGGTGTAGAGCAATACCTCATACTTCCAGTAGAACAAATCCAGAATCCTAAAACCCGATATTTTGTACAGTTTAGGAACAAGACAAAATGACAAGCTATTTTTGTTTTGAACAATCATCAAGCATCAGAATCTGAATCATCTAACAATGCATCTATATCTGGAGTTACAACTGCATGCTTGTTAAGCTCCCCAAGAACACAGTAATGCCTTTCTTTCGCATTAACCGCCACAAGCTCTTCTACAAATGTTGTATCTATCCCTGGAGAAACCTGTAAGATATTTTTCATGTTAACTCAAAAGTTCTAAATGCGAGAAAGTGACGAGCATTCTTACAACTCACATCAAAGACAACTTCTCCCATCTTCATTGTAACTTTGCCGCTTCTGTAAACCAGCAACTTCCCCATGAAACCACCAGGAGGATCTTTCAACTTGCAAGCCGTGCTAGACTCATCAGCTGCCTTGTTGCCTGGCCCTTTTTCTTCATCAGGTGGTTTCGCCGATGGAAGATCGAAGGGAAGCTGGAGAAAGATCATCTTTGGTTCGTCGCCGGTTTCCTAGCAGAGAATCAAACCAGAGAGTAAAGAAGATGGCAATGGTGGATTGGTTCAAATGTTCTATGGTGGCAGAAACAAACCATTAACCCCAACTTCTGTGCTGCATTAATTTTATCCTCATCTATGGGCAAGTGCGCCGAGCCTCCCTCGCCGAACTCCAATCTATCAAGAACTTCTATAGACAAGAAGACAGTAACAGATTGAAGAAATCCATTTCAAAATTGGTTTGCTTTAAGGAAAACGGAAATAGAATGAAACCTGGGTCTCCCGAGTAAGGCCTCCTCAAAGGAAGGGTCGTTGGATAATGAGAGCGTGCGTAATCCTAAAAAGGACAATATAAGCAGAAAGTATATGCAAGTTAGGGAAAGATAAAAACAAATTTTAAGATAGGATTTATTTGCTAAATTACTCACCCATGGTTCAGCATACTCCCTGGGTTGGGAAACAAGACCAGGATCATCTATTTATAATTGGAAAGGGCAAGGAAAATGATATTAGGAAAAGAAAAAAAAATACTATAGAGAAGCATCAGAGTGAGGTATCAAGAGGAAGAATATGACCTTCACTTTGGGTTCCTGCTGTAGGAGTCACAAATGAACTAGCTTGTGTAGACGAGTTTCCGTATCCAAATGTGACTTCATCCTGGACAGCTGAAAAGATAAAAAAAGAACAACGAAAATGCACAGCTTTATTGAAGAATAGGATTAAAAAGGAGTGTCATGAAGAATCTTCAGGTCAGCCTCTCAATCTTATAAAGGAATTTATAAATTTTTAATCTAATTAATTGGAATAGTCATTTTTTTATTGAATATTGAATTTACTTTTTGGGAATTCAACATTGCTTTCAAGATGCCATTTAATTCATATATAAAATCATCTTTTCAACTGATAGATGGAACAATTGGAACTACAGCAAAACAAAGAACTGTAAAAAAGCAAATGGAGCCCTGAGCGAGCTGCTGCCACAGGAAAGGAATCAAGCAACACTGAAAAACTTCGACAGATACAAAGGGTTGCCATCCGTCCAGAAATGGTTGCACTGAGCTTCATAAGTCCTTTAATACAACCTATTTCTGGACATGTGATTAGTAAGGACCCTTCTGAGGAAGTATGACACATTATTACCAGGTGAAGAATTCAAACAACAATATAGACTCACGGGAAGCTTGCTTAGGCTGAAAACTCAAGGGCAATATGGTAAATTAACATTTAGTGAAAATCTAATTGGGAGATACAAGATGAAAGATGAACTACCAGAAAATAAACTTTTCAGTCTACAAAAACTGCTACAGGGAAGAATAGTAGACAGCTGGTAACTGGTCCTAGGAGCTGCAGGGTAAGCGTAGATCCCTCTCAAGTTGGGGAGAAATTATTTCGTGCGGAGTCTGGATGTGAGTGTACACAGTGTGTACACTGAGTATAATTTTATACATAGTTTAATTTTTTTTTATACACAGTGTGTACAAATATTGTGTACACTCACATCCAGACGGTTCTTTTCCGTCCGGACTCCGCACAGAATAATTTCTCCGAGTTGGGAAAGGTCCTCTGGTAGAAACTTTCCTAATCAGAGTGCATTAACAATTTTGTTCATGAATCAACACAAACAATTGCTTTAATACAGACACCCATCAAGCATAATGTCAGTACTCACAATAGAAACGCAAATATGCCTTAATTAATAATCCCCTCTACTTTGTTAGTTGACTAAGTAAGACGGTCAATCACATTGTTTACTAATTCTGATCACCTAAAAAATTCAATATCTTTATCATTTATTTTACTTCCTTTCGTTCACAAATGTCTTTAAATAGGAATCCTAGTTCGACTCATCATACATATTTGTTATAACGACAACTGTAATCGATACATTGGTTTTTTCGAAGATTTTGTATATACTTATGCATGGTAAGTTCTCCAAACGTAAAACTAAAAAAAAAAATTAAGATACTAGTAAGCCATATAACGTTCTTTTTAGAAGGACTATTAACATTGCGAACAACAATTTGCAGCCTCTAATTTCATAGATTGGCAAAAAATAATAACTTGAATTCAACATGTTTGGCAGCCGACTTGTTTAGAAAAAATAAAAAATGGACAACTGGCAAGTCAAGGAAACGTCCATAACAAAAAGGTATTCTATTACTAAAACAAAAATAAAATAAAATCCCATGAAATTGGCTAGAGCCAAAAAAGATGATGACTATTGAGTTGGTGTGTAACTACAGACTTAAACATCAATGATATATTTGAGCTCCCATGGGAATTGGAGGAAATAGATAGAGCTCTTAATCACCGATTGCATCATTTTCAGAAATTGGACTTTGCTTGCTTGAATCTGTGATGGATAAGAAATCCCAATTTAGAATGTAGAATATTAGGATGTGGAATCATCCCTGTTAAAAATATCATCAATATGAAATAGATACTAGTCGAAGGTGTCCTAGAAAAGAAAGAGAATCAAACATTGATAACAAATCCAATAAGCAAATAATAGCTTCATGAGTACAAGTTTTTTTGGCATGAAGATCAAAACATTTCCCTTGAAAACCGAGATTAAGCCCTCGGCTTCTAATCTTCTCCCTTCATAGAGGCATTTCTTAGGGATCTTACATTGAGTACAAATCTTCCATTTAAATTAAAGATGGAGAATTTGGATTCATTTCATGTTCAAATTAAATTGATATAAGTTTTCTCACATACTTTGGTGTTTTCAGCTATCAAATTCTTATAGACAAATCACCCTTATAGCAATAAACAAACCTTTGCATATTGGAAAAAAAAAGTTAGAATGAAGATATTTAATTAAGATATATAACTAGGGGGTGATCAACCCATAATTGAGAGGGGTGATCTCATAGTTCTTGACCCATTAAGATGTATAATTCGGAGCTTCATTCTCCTATTAAGGGCAATCCATAACTTATGCTGGTTGTCCATACACAACATTTCTTTCTACAAGCCCTCAATAACTATAGGAGTATGATAATTTTTCCTCCAAAAAGATGTACAAGTCTATCAAATCCTTTCATTTTGTGGTAGGAGATCCTCGAAAGTTGTTAGATATCACCTCTTAAGTTGTTGAAACTCTAAAATGAATTGTCTAGGTTGCGGACAAAAACATTCATTGTGACAAAGGTTTAACAAGGAATAAAAGAAGTTTTTTTCCTTGAATTAATAGCTTATAATAATCAAGATCATTGACTTTTCAACCAAGTAGTCAAATAATATAGTCCCTCACGAGCTAGTAAAAAATAGCAAAAAAAAAAAAAAAGTGAAATCTAGCTAATTCTACGCAAAGAACTTGCCCAAGGTAAAAGAAAGTAAAATTGGGTTATAATTTTTTTTATTGACCAACAATCAAAGCAAGAGCTACTCCAAGGATTGTTGGAAGCATTGTTGACACCTCATAGTTTTAGTAGAAAAAGAAGGGGTTCACATAGGCCTCTCTATATATCCAATGAACTAGTTGCAAAAGCATGGGGAAATTCAGCCATAATTCTCAATCACCTACTTCATTTTCATAAAGAGGGACTTCGAAATTCTTAAGAAGAGTCTCCAAGATGACTTAATATCAACCAATGTTATCAATTGGATTGTATATTATGGTTACATAGAAAATCATATAAATTATGTGAGTGGGCGCATTGCCTTTAATGTGTTAGGATTCAATAAAAAGGGTAATCCTGAGTACTCTTGAACTAGTAACTACACCTATGGCATCTAGTAGGGTAAGAAAGTAGCTGACTTCTCTTTTTGGGTAAGCAAGAAATGGGTATGGTAGATCTCCTTATATTTTTTTGGTAGCATAAAGCTAGCTCTTTAATAGTAAGGTTTTTACATGAACTAAAATCAACCATCCAATCAAGTGCTTTATGTAAAAAATTCCAAGGTTTTGGATAAACTGAAAGAAAAATATAAAGCTATGGGTGGCAATATTACTCAAAGCATGAACTTCAATTGAAGTTCAAACCAAAATGTAAGTTTTCTCTTTTTTCGAGGTGAATTCAACCCCAATGTGGCTCTCTTAAAAGCGATACAACTTATATATATATATATGCACACACACGCGCGTACAAATTATAACCAAATTGAAGAAATTGGTTTAACTTATCTTGCTATTATAAAAATTAATTAAAAAAATCCAAACTTACTTTCTATTTATATTTTAAACTTTGAGAATATTAAATGTGACTCATAAATGGAATCGGTCAACACAAAATGAAATATTTACATCTTAAATGCTCTACTTTTTGCTATTGTTTGGATTTAATTGATGAATGAAATATCTCTTTTTCTTTTTTATCATGGATTATTTTTAGAAGAATAATTTTACCATATGATGTATACTTGTTGTAGTTAATCTGTTATTTTTTTATTTTTTTTTATTTTTTATTTTTTGTTGTTGTGGTTAATCTGTAAGTGACGTATACTATTAAATTAGGTTTCATGTTTTAATAAAGAAGCAAGCTACCGATCATAGATGCTTCTGATTCCAACGTTATTATATTTGAAGTACAGCAAGTAATTTCATCCTTTGCTCAGGTAGCCTCAGACAGGTTTTTGTTTCACTTATTCGTTCACTTTTAAATATGACAGACGAACCTAAAGTACGTTTGGCGATATTTGAATTTAACATTGTGAAGTATTTTTTGCGTGATATTAGGAATCATAGTTATGTGATAGGAAACACTGTAGATCTCAAGTTTTTCCTATCAATCTTCAGAAAAAAGCGAGATTTCCCCACAAAATCCACACAAAACCACGAAAACAGAAGATAATTTGTATTATTTGATGAAAAGGAAGCATAAAATACCAAGATACAATTGATCCTCTATTCGAGAGGATCAACGATCTCTCCGAATCCCTAGACGCCGCTAGAGCCCAAAGGAAAACCTAAATCTAGAAGATCTCAAACTTCAACCCAATTCCAAATGCCCTAACCCTAGGAAAACAAACAATTTAATGCTTACAAATCAAAAGGAAATCTCTAAACAACCCCTACATTCAAATTTCCCTCCTAACTCCCTCAAAAAACCTTCCTAAAAACAACCTACGCACGTCGTGCGTGTGTTCGATGCCGACAAGAGGCAGAGAAATCCGCCTCTATGTTCGCATATGTCGGTCCCGTCGGACCGGCTAGACCGGTCCAATGGATTGGTTTAACAATACTCCCCTCCCAAAGTCCACCTTGTCCGCAAGATGGAAAGACGACCCCCTCTTCCATTCCTTCTTCATCACAAACAGTAAGAAGTTGAAGAGTTCGATCCTTACGCCTGTGCCCTGGCGTATACATCTCGTCACATCTCAAATAGAACCCCTTCGCCCTCTTCTCCTGTAATTCAGTCTTTGTAAGCTTCTTGAAGTTGTCCCAGATCTTCCTCCGATAGTCTTCTCATTCAAAGTTTCCCTAAGAGTACCCGGTGTTGGCTTCTCATTCAAAGTTTCCCTAAGAGTACCCGGTGTTGGCTCCTTGGGTTTCAAAAAGGTGGTGGTCATCCTATACGAGCCTACTAAGCTACTGCCTCCAATTTCTCTCTCCAAGTGCCTCTGATCCTCCACCAACTGAGTTAGTTCCATAGCCTCTCCCAAGTCATGAGGCCTCATTACTCTAACCGCTGCCTGGATCTATGGTGTCAGTCCTTTCATG